GTGTGGTGGGGAATTGAAATCATACAAAAGAAAGTTGAACCAGACTTGTTGGTGTATCCTAGTATTACCAACAGGCGATTATTAATGTGTGGGATGTTGGGTATCACTACACTGTATTAAAGTGAAGTTATTAAATATGCTACATTAAATCACCCAAATTGTGCACATTTCTACATGCTACTTTGTAGACGGTCCCTTGTTTTGAGTTTTGGATTCCCCAAATTCGGATCCCTCAGTATCTTTCCAATGTATCAGAACCAGTTTAGTGAGACTGATAAGGCATGGCATGTTAGTGTGCGACAATATTGCCGATAGCCCTTGAAGGCAGCACGTCGTGACGTTGCGGTGGGCGTGTCAGTGTGGAGACTGGAGAGCTCGAGCTGTTTATGGAAAACTCTAGAAGTTTCCACGAGGTTTATAAAGAAAATACCCGGGACCCAGCGGTCTCAGAAGCGACAGAGCACTGACTGAGGACGGACTACAAACAGCTGTAACGTTTATAAACGGGCCACTGGATGGTCAAAATGGGTAAAGACTACTACGACATTTTGGGAATTAAAAAGGGAGCGTCGGAGGACGATATAAAGAAAGCTTATCGTAAGCAGGCTCTGCGCTTTCATCCGGACAAAAACAAGTCGCCAAATGCCGAGGACAAATTCAAAGAAATCGCCGAAGCTTACGACGTTTTGAGCGACTCGAACAAAAAGGACATTTACGATCGTTTTGGTGAAGAAGGTAAGATTTCACATAGGAATCATTTGCCTGTGAGAATGGGGATAACCAACTGATTACAGGCCTTCAGTAGAGGCTGGTTGTGAGGCACACAGGAAAACCACCAAGACATGTTTATACAAGACCAGGTTAAACAAGTATAACTGAAATTATGTGAACGTGAGTTGAGAAGGGCAACTTAATGTTGTTGACGTCATGAGGGGGCGGGGCTTAGCGTAGCAGCGTGCTCTTGTATTTGGATGTTTGAACGGTGTTGTCAGGGGGGCTTTATAGAAATGAGAGGTGGGGCAGTGATTGACGTGTACTGAAATACTTCAGTGACTAGTCATACCTGTTAAATAACTTTAGTACATTTAGGAACGACGTGATGATAAAAACAACACATTTGTAATTGAATGGAAATATTATAAGAAACCCTTTTTTTAAAAGCTCTGCATCTATTCACTGGAGATGTAATGGCTCCACTGATGTGTAACCATGGCAACATCATCATTTGGATCAACAAATGTCGGGTTACATGGATATCATGTTCCCCCCCCCCCTGGGATAACAATGTTTGTTTGCATCAAAGACATATGTGAACATTTAAAATAACTACTCATTTAAATGGCAACACTAAAAATGTATTACATTTTAATGGAAATTATGTTTATCAAGGGAAACATTTCAATGCATTCAAGCTAAGGATATTTCCAAATACGGAACCTGACAAGTAATACTTCTGCACACAGCTTGAAAACAACGACAGGCGCTGTAGAATTGTGTAGGTTTGTGTCACATTTTTTATGGTGGTGTCTGTAAACAAGAAAGATAGATCTTTCAGGGTTTTATCCGACATTTACAAGGTCTACATATCCACTTATTCTTACTTTGTGAGGCAATTGTTATGCACAGAATCGATTGCAAATCCCAAAAGACACCATGCTAATAGTGAGTAGGACTTTAAAAGTAGCATTGAGGGACTTTTGTATTGTGTGTTTGTTAGATTTATTGATAGAGCACCTCACAGTAAAATATGCTGCCTGTGTTGCCATTTCAAATGGAAAATGTTTTGCTGTTGCCATGATTTCTTAGCCTCTCCAATTCATTTATCAAAATGCTTTGCCCTTTACTTTGTAGCTTGCCTGCACAATCAAAACTGAGAAAGAAAAAAAGCAATATGAAAAGCTATAACTAACAAGAACAATGTGGGGAAATACCATAACCTATAACATGAATGATGCTATAATGAGTCTTGAAATACATAATTGATAATACCATTAGTGAATGAAGTCGTTTTGGTGATACTTTTTGTGGTTTCTCTCACTCAGGTCTGAAAGGCGGAGGAGCACCAGCTGGTGGTGGTGGTGGTGGTTGTGCTGGGCCTGGAAACTTCAGCTACTCCTTCCAGGGCGACCCCCATGTCATTTTTTCAGATTTCTTCGGTGGACGTAACCCCTTCGATCAGTTCTTTGGTGCCCGCAATGGAGGCCCAGATGAGGACATGGACACTGAAGACCCTTTTGCCCGCTTCGGGATGGGGGGCGGAGGGATGGGCGGTGGGATGGGCGGGTTCCCTCGCTCCTTCAGCTCTGGCATGGGAGGGATGGGACCTCACAGTAGCATTGTAAAGAAGCCTCAGGACCCCCCAGTGGTTCACGATCTCTGGGTTGCGATGGAGGATGTTTTGTCTGGTTGCACAAAGAAAATGAAGATCTCCCGTAAAATGCTGAACCCAGACGGGCGAACAGTAAGGACAGAGGGTAAAATCCTGGAGGTGCAGATAAAGAAGGGGTGGAAAGAGGGCACTAAAATCACATTTCCCAAAGAGGGGGACCAGACCCCCACAAACATTCCAGCCGACGTGGTTTTCGTGGTCAAGGACAAGGCCCATCGGGTATTCAAACGTGAGGGCTCGGACATTGTTTATACAGCAAAGATTTCACTAAGAGATGTAAGTTTACATATAAGATAGCCTTTTTGTCACTTGTGTGATTTGCATACATATAATGACGTTTCCTGATCTTAAATCATGTTTTATTTCTCCCTTTATTTCCATCAGGCCTTGTGTGGCTGCACAGTCAACGCACCCACACTGGACGGCAGAACGGTGACCGTGTCATCAACAGATATTGTGCAGCCAGGGATGAAGAGACGCGTGAGCGGCGAGGGGCTGCCTTATCCCAAACGCCCCGACCGTCGAGGCGACCTGTTAGTAGAGTACGAGGTCAAGTTCCCAGAAAGGCTCAGCCAGAGCGCCCGGGACACCATCGCTCAGGTCCTCCCGCAATCCTAAACCACACCAACGGACATCTGGGACTTTAGGATTATCACACTAAGCTGCCAACTATTTTGTCAGTCATTCATGCGGCGTTACAAATCACTTCACAAAAGTAAAGACAGACTTGTGAGATACATTTGTGAACGCTGTCAAACATAGTATGAGAAACCACCTTCGGAAAATGCTAATCATAAATGACTGCAGCATTTCAAAAGATACCATGTAAATATGACCAATATTGTTTGCTGTTTGGTTTACTGAATAAGATTATATTTTGATTAAAAAACAAACATTATAACATGTACAGCATATGAGGACAGTTCTGTTTAAATAGTTTTGTTGGTATCAAAGGTTCTCCACTGGAAACATTTTGTATGAAATTGCAACATAAAGATTGAATTGTTTTTATAAATTCAACCCATGTAAAGTTGATGGAGAAAATAAAACGTTGTCTGGCCTGAGAAACCTTCACTTTATGGAAAGAATGTGTCATGTTTATTAGCATTGCAGCGCACACAGTAAAAACAACAACTCTACATTCATGTGTTGACTGACTGACTTTCCCAGAATCCTTATGAAAGAGCAATCCCCTGCCGACACATGAGCGCAACATGAAGGTCTGAAAACATCATTTATTTGAAGGTCTTTCTTGCAAAGGGCCACCCGCAGGACCAGGGTGTTGCTCTTTGTTTCTGCAGGCGCTACAAAAGGAAGTTTCAGCATTTCAGCCTCAATTATAGAAAACTATATCTGACTGAGGTATTGCTAAATCTTCCTCTCTTTATAAACTCAATATTGACTGTTTCACATTTCAATCACTTTATGTTTCATGTCTAAAATAAATGTTTTTTTGGAAATACTCGCCAATAGTGAGATAAGAAGATAAATACTTTTCTCATATCTGAATTAAAGAAAGAAGATCTATCCAGCGAGATTTAAAGATACTTAAAACATGTGTTAACCTTTGGACCAAGCTAGTTTCCCCCTACCTGTTTCAGTCTCTATGCTAAGCTAGAAGAGCCGGCTACTTGCAGATTTGTACTGAATGGATAGATATAAGCAGTTGCAGTTATAAAATAGACAAGGACAATATACGTAATTTCCAAAATGTCAAGCGATTGCATTCAACAACAAAAAAATCTGAGAATTTGAGTAGATACATGTGAAAACAACAATCTTGTGTTATTCTGTTAATGTCAGACATCCAAGCAACAACTAACACAATGTTTTCTTACTGGATTGAGACTTGAAATAGTCCAGGTTTTGTGATAAATAAAACCCTGTCACAGCTAACTTTGTCAATTTATTATTTTATAGAAAAACATTGGAACCGTTTTATTCTTTTCTTAACACAAAACATGAAATATAGCCCTTCTCACACATCATTTGTATACAGTCCCTTAGGAGACACCGCTGAGTGGCTCGTGTAAGGACACGCTAACCCTGAAAAAAGGCCTAAGTGGAGCGAAAGGTTTCTGTGGCAACTTAAAGGTCGTCAGTCAGAAATACTTAATTTTTCCTGGGGGAAATTGGGTTTAGTGACAGTTGCCCTGTTTTGGAATTAGATAATATTAAATAAAAAATATGAAAAAGATATTGATATAAAAATAACTTATAAGATGTCAAAGCTGAAATGTGCACATTGTACTAGAGTTAAACCTGATGGTGAAGCGGCCCTCGGGCTCTGATACCCGTGACACAGTCAACAGACAGCTTTATGGCTTTGATGCCCTCCCTCCAGCTTCATGTGCACTGAGGCAGCAGGGCCAGCATCCAGAGCCAAACAATACATATAAAGACTGAAAACAGTTCATATGTATCACTGTCATGGGCTGGTCCTGCAGAGAGATGGGGCGCTGGAGAACTACAGTCAACTGTATCTCTGTTCTCAAGAGGCATGTTCAATTGAGAGACAGCTGCACAATCACAGCCTTGTAGCTAATCTAGATCACCAAGGCAATCACTTTTGTATGACACTGAATCAGATGACTAACACTTTGAAGCGGACCACTGCTTATTTTCTCTGTCAGCCGGAAAAAAACCGTTTTTAACCTTAAGCAAGAATGAGGATTCTTCATCTTGTAATTTTTTGCTGCATCTTGGGTGAGTTTTTTTCAAATCATTCGAATATTTTATTTCTAAAGGTTACATTGTGAATTGGTTATAAATGTACTTGTATGTAGCTTCTTCTAATGCACTGGTAATGTTCAGTATAGTCAGTGGTGGATCGTAACATAAACCTGAGTTCTGTCAGTATTGTTTTATGCTACTTCATACTTCTACTTCACTACATTCTGGAAGCCAATACTTTTTAACTTCACCACATTTATTGGAAGCTACTTTTTAGATTTAGATTATTATCTTAAAGTATCAATCAATCTATAAATGAACTTTGACATATTATTTTATATGTATGCAGCCCTTCATTTACCAGCTATTACAAACAAACTAGGACATCAAAAATCACAATCCAGAAATTAAGAATATACAATTCTGAAATGGGCCATTACGAAATAGAAGAAATACTTTTGGTACCTCAAGTATAGATAAGTCAGATTTTGAAAGCAATACAATTTAGTATACTTTTACTGGTAAAACATCTGAGCACTTCTTCCAGTGGTGGGTATAGATTTTAAAATTGGTCTTCTTTTTAAAAATAATTTAGTTTGAACACCATTTAAACATTTCCATCATAACTCAAACTTGCTTGCAAATAAACCTTCATCACAACCAAAAAGTGAAAGTCTACTGAATTAAAGTATGATATTGTATTTAAGACTATATTGAATCAGAGTTTTTTGTAATAGTAGAAGTAGGAATGTCTACAGATCTTTGATTAACAATGAGAAACTAAATATGTCAAATAAGTGTAGTGAAGTAAAAATTACAACAATTGCCAACAAAATGTAATAAAGTACAAATATAAAGTAGCATAATGTGAAAATACTCAAGCAAAGTACAAGTACCTCATTGTGTACTTATGTACGGTTACATTACCCCACTGAATGACATTATATAAAAAAAACACAATGGTGTTAAGCCACAATTCAAATCAACCAAAAAAGGTGAAGCTGTAAAGTTATCAAGCAGATTATGCTATTGTGTTTATTTATCTTAATATGCTGCCCGGTCAAGCAATTTAATTTCATCCAACTGCAGTTGTATAGATATCACCTGCATCATGTAACAAAGGCCCTTTGTTCCATGATGCAGGTGTGTGTGCTGCTTCAGGAGTGCTGGAGGTGAGCGGCCATGTTGGAGGAGAAGTCTCCATCCTCTGTTCTGACACCACCACCAACAGCTCGGAACTCTCCAACATGTACTTCTGCAAAGGAGACTGCGCCAGAGAAAACATCCTGATTCAAACTGAGAAGAAGAGTTTGGCTATCACGCGACGAGGACGATACAGCATGGAGGTCAGCAGAGGGGATGGAGCCTTCAACGTGACCATAAAGAGGCTGGAGAGGGCCGACACAGGGACATATCAATGCAGACTGGGGGAAACGTATAGAGTGTTGCACCAGGAGGTCAATCTCAAAGTCGAAGATGGTAAGTTCATGGGCAGATGCATAAAAAAAGTTAGCAAATTGCTTGAGAGAGCCGGGCTTTTTCGTAAAACAATGTATGTCATTCATCCTCCTCATGCAAATCATTTTAGCACAGTCACACTTAGCTAACAAAGCACCACCCTGAAGCGAAAAGGTCATGGTACCTTAGATCAAACAACCTCTGTGACAAAATCATTTGAAACCTGAAGTTGAAGTTGCATTAAAAAAATACAGAGGCTGTGGAGTGGAGTAAACGTATAACATTTTGCACCAGAGGGTCAACCTCAGAGTGACAAATGGTAATTGTATGGATTAATGCATAAAGGTTCCCACAGGCAATGAGACACTTTGGGACGTTACTGATGCACTATTTATCTTCTAGTCAGGAGTGGTTATTTTGTATGAAACAAAGGTCACAGTGTAAGCTTTTTCATTATAATATGACACGGTCATGTTGAACCAAAACCTATAAATATAACTGATTCTGTCTGCAGAATAAAACCAACCAAACTATGTGGAAAACGATTATTATATGTACTGCAGGTGTAAAACTTAAAGGCTATAATACCATGTATACATTACATTGTTTTATTTTAAAAACTGATCCGAGTGAACATATGTGTTTGTGTGTCCATGTGTGTGTGGAGCCCTTATAATAAGTGTTAATAGTTAATAATCATTAGACATTATTTTGAAAGCTCAAACTAATTTCTTAGTTTATTTAATGTGCTAATGCTGCTAACATGTAAATTAACATTCTTTGTGGTTACATGCAATTTTTATAATGATATAATAATTACAATAATAATAACAATAATAACAAAAACATTATAATAACAATAATAATACATATAATATTAATAATAATAATATTGTGATTCTACTGTGAAATTCTCCGGACGTTGCAACCCTTCCTGTGATGTATCACGAGTTCACAATATTTCTTGCCAGTCATCCTTCATCCTGTTCTCCCGCAGCCTCCACTGTTCCAATCGGACCCCCTCCCTCCACCACCACCCCCTCTCTGCAGACTGAAGCACAAGCTCTGCCCCAAGGCAGCTCTGCATCCAGCACTGAAGCATCAATGCTGCCGACTACAGAGACAAACCAGCCAGCAGCCACCAAACTAAAAGGTATTTAACGGTCACTGTTAGCAGCTGTTCTCCTGTTGCAGGCCTCAAAGCAGCGTATACCTTATTGGTCAGTTTGGATAACAACTTAAGTCACCTTGCACTCTAAACTGTTTTCTTTGTGTAACTTCACTTGGATGGAGTCACACTAGAAGTTTGTTTTCACTTCAGGTGCTGAAGGTGGCTTGTTTCTCACCTTACATGTGTTTCTATATGTATACAGTATGTGTCTGGAACTAGTCCAGGTCCAACATGCAACAAGTGGGATTTGGAAACTTGACTGCACATCACTAACAATGGACTTTCCATGAAGTAGAAGAAATCTTGTGTCGAATAGAATCTAGTTTATTTAACTCTTTTAAATGAACAAAAAAAAACTAACATCAGATCAGACACATTATTGAAAGCAGAATATTGGAATATGTCTCAAAACGTCTGAGGATGCGATATGTTTTTAGTTCATTTTTGTATCTATACTATGCAATATTTTTTTAAACAAACCTCTGGACTGTGTTAGTATATAAGTATATATATATAATATATATTTAAATCAATTACTGTCATACTAAATTATACTGTTCGCACAACAGATAAATAAAAGAAAGTTTGATAATCGGCTAAAACAAATCTCATTAGTAATCAAGACAAAGACATCATCCCCTTTCACCGTCAGGAGGTGAACCATTGTTTTTAGGTATTAACATGCATGCAGCCTATACTGTATATAGAAACAATAAAAAAGGCCTATACTGTTGTAACATGCTGCTATCAAAGGATAAAAACATTCAGAAATGTGTGGAATGGGCATGTGTTTATCCTGTGATGTGCATGTGAAAAATGTGCATTGTTTCCATTTAGATAGGAGGCAGACAAAGTTTCCATAGAATGCATTTTCAGTAATAAGTGGCTAAACATTTTGTGTTTTGAGGAAGAACTGATATTTTTTACCAATGGATAAAACCAGGTTGTTGTTGTTATGTTCTTAACTGACAGCTGATTGCTCATATTGAAAAATAACTTAGTCTGATAATTAGATTTCTTTGTCAGAATTGTTTTCTGCTGCATCAATAATGAAATGATTGTTCTGAATATCAGAGACTAAGTTGTCATCCTGTTGTTGAATAAGCTTTATTGTCAGTGGCACAAACGACTGTCTGTTTGCAGATGCCACAGTGGTCATCATTGTTTCGGTGACCCTGGCTCTTCTGGTTTGTTCCATTATACCTCTTATATTCTACGGACACTGCCGGAATAATGCGGGTGAGGAGACACATGCTCAGAGACATGCATGCTTACACACACTGCTTACACTCTACAAGGTACATGTTTTTTAAGGGTACATTTTGCCCATTTTTTTAATTCATACATTTTGTTTCCAAGTAATTGGAGCTGCTTCATAAATTAATTCTGAAAGATGTTATAGGTGACCCTGAGGGCACCAAGGACAACAGAGACACTGAGAACATTTCAATATAAAAGAGGTCATTTAGGTATTAAAATAAGAAAACAAACATTCTGTGGTTTTATAAAATGTTCACATTCATTGTCTGTAGGGCAGCTGCACACTTTAAGGATGGTGAAAACACACATTTCAAACATACTTCTCGGCTTTGAGATGCTCATATTCACAGATATTGATTGAACTTTCGTAGGCCAAAGAACAAACATGAAGTAATCCTAAATTAAGGTAGTGGTCCCCTTTAAGGAATCTTGTTGCTTGTGTGTTTCAGAAGGTCTAAACAAGAGTGAGGTGAGTGACCATTCTATAATTCACCACTTTTAGTGTTGATTAAATTGTTCACCTCTAACAGCTGTTCTAATGACTGTATGGTATTTACTTACAGTCTGATTACTGCGAGGAAAATACAGATGGTGCTTCTCCTCACTCTGCAGTGAGGCTGCAGGCTCTAGAAGCAGGTGCTGATCCAGAGTCTAGTATTCCCGACGCCTCGCAGTACGCTGCTGTCTATCAGGCACTGGATCCAAAAACTATGGACTGAGCAGGATTTATTCCTTTGAGCTGACAGCTAAACTCAACCTGTTCTCTGTATGTTACATTAAATAAAGGACAAGTGTTTAACTATATTTATGTACTATATGTTTTACTTTCTATGTGTCATTTTGTAAATGTGTGAGTAAATGTGTCAGTTAAACTGGGTTCAGTTAAAGTATATCTAATCTGATCCAATTTCTTGCAATGACAATCATTATGTTCTTGTGGGGGATTGCAATGGCCCTTCCCACACTTCCTTCCCTTTACTTCCGGTCCCCTTGCTCGGGCAACACCTATCTTGAAATCTAGCCTTCACCTTTATCTCATCTACATACCTGCAAAGTCACACCCAATCAAGCCAGGGGAGTAACATGGCATTGTGGCCCCCTTCCTCCCCTTGCTCGAAACATGCCTATCTTCAAACTTGACCTTCAGTTTGATCTCCGCTATATGTGTGTAAAGTTTTCGTCCTGCATGTTGTTTCATGGCCACAAAAATATCTCTGCAGACAGACAAAGAAATACAGACACCTGGAAAGGAACTCAAATCAAATTCCGTGGTAGTTCCTTGAGCACTTTTTGCCATGATGACAAACTCATCACTAAAGCAATGTTTCAAACTGCATGGAAAGCACTACTGGACTTACTACATCCTTGTCAGAGAGTACCTTTCTGGAGGTTTGGGATCCTCTGCTTTATACAATTCAACGTAGTGTTGGGGTAAGACCTGCAGAGGGTGCTACAGTACACACAAGCTATGATTCAACATGTCATCTTTGCCTTTCCTTATCTTTCACAACCCCCCTTGACAGCTCATTGACCAGTATTCCTTCAGAAACCTTAAATACCTGGGGGGTATACTACGAAGCAGGATTTTCGCTTAGCCGGCTAAATTCAGGGAAAACTCCGGCTTTCCGGTCCTACGAAGCTGGTTCTCTTTTTAGCAGGCTAGATCTCCATGGTAACTTATGCTTAGCGGCTAACCTGGTCGGGACCAGGTTAGGTTGCAGGCTAAGAGCTCAACTCAGTGAAAGCACTGCCTGCTGACCAATCAGAGCTCAGTGTGCGGAGTTTAAAGCGATCAAGTCATATTACAGGAGAAAGGAAATACAGAAAAGCTGCCGTCGCAGGAAAGACGGCCGGCAAAAATCACCGACTGTGTGAACGTGAACATTAATAGAATATCACCTCCCATCTTCAGAGCAATCTGACTATTATAACATTAGCGTTAAGAACACTTACCACATATCTACCACAACATAAGTAACCGGATCAGAGTAACATTAAGTAGGCCTACAGTCAGACCCGGCGCCAGAACAAATCTAAAGGGAGGGCATATGATTTTCATGGGAGGGCACACAAAACCGTCACGTGCTGCGGGCCTACGGCACAATATATATCAAACGGCATTGCGTAAAGACGCACACTTATCGCAAACATACACAAATAAAGGTCAACGTAGCAACCACTTTGAAACATTGTGTGCGTGGCAGCACAGACACTGCTAAATCACGAGCAAGGCACACTCGTTACGGATGGCAGCTTCCTCATCGCTGCACTCGGAGAGAAATAGTTGAGACGGAGACGTTGAACTGTTTAGCCCGCCTTGGGCATGGTTTATATTCCGATGCACTGCACTCGGACATGCTGTGGAGTGAATCGAGTCACCTCTGAGGGAGTTGGTTGACAGCTAAAAAAGCTATAATATCAACGACAGCTGACACGTAATAACGGCTCCGTGCCAGCTGACCTGCACCAAAGTTCTAATTTCCTTATTTGTTTCCTCGCGTATCTGTCTCTCTCTCCACAAACTCTCACATGAAATGTGTTCTTTTGATGCGGCATGCCTTAGCAGTCCTTTATCAGTCTGTAATGCGTGTTTCCAGTCGCAAAAACCTTTGACAGTAAAAGCCGCATCAGATGAAGACGTATTTACTTTAAACTGTCTACAGGGGAAACAAAAGGCTGCGTCTGCTTTTAACAAATCTTCAAGCCATGGTCTGTTGTTGTACCATGCAGCGGCAAAAGTGCGCTTCTTTCCTGAAAACAATCTCCCTGGATAACGATCCAGCTTCACCTGGTTGGGTTTATTAACCCCAAGATCATCGCTAACTCAGCCCCGGGGTTTGCCGAGGTCAAGCTTGTGACATTAAGGCGTGCTGCTGCAACGGCAGGTGCAGGGTCGCCAGCAGCACCATCGGCTGCAGTTCTTTCATCGCTATTTCGTTTTAATAAATCCTTAGACCTTTTAAGCCAATTTGTTATGTCCATTTTGTAATTCAAACAGAAATGGGAGTCTATAGAATGCACAATAAACAAATCCAGAATAGGCGGCAGAGTGTGACGCTGTGATTGGTCTATATGGGGACGAATCACAAATCACAACAGACACATGCCTTTATTTGACGTAGCATGGCGCCTGCGATTTGTTTTGTTTGTTCTGACATCACATACATCGTAGCATAAAAGTTCACAGTTTATTTATAATTAAAAAAATAAAATATATATTTTTTTTTAATTTTTATAAATAATAAAAAAACGTGTTTATTGGGGGAGGGCAGGAATGTCAAATGGGAGGGCCTGGCCCTCCCACGGCGCCGGGCATGCCTACAGTCCGCGGCATATCACTTCATAATGTATCATATATTTTCTTATCTGAGTCAGCTGAGCCGTATCTGGCCGTGCAACACTCACAGTGTTACATAGGCCTACTGTATGCAGAAGTATTATTTTAAGCAACACATTAAGTTGACGAAACACTCGAGACAAATGTAATTAAAGTCAAATCGTGTTTTAGACGGGGCAGTGATATCATAAACCTGTTAATGTACGCATTCAAACACTTTTTCTTTTGCCAGCTGTATTCACCTTGCAGGTGCAGCTATGTGGCTTTGATCCTGGATAAAGTGTTTCAGTCATGGATGTTTAAAGTTTAACTTCTTCATTTTTGACTAGTATTAAAGTTCACTTTTCATTCAGGAAGTATGACGCTGCGCTGTCAGTACGCTTCTCCATGTTTGTGATTGGTCGAATGCTCCAGATACCACCCCTTTCATGTGAACGCGCACCTAACTAGATAGGAAACGGCTGGCTTGAGCGATCCACTTGATAACCAGCGTCGTAGTACAGTTTAGCGAGAGCGCGTATGTTTTGGATTAGGCCAACCGGCTAACTCAAACATATCCAGGTTAGGTTGAACCACCTTCGTAGTATAGGCCCCTGGTCTTAAAGAGCACATTTAAAACACTAACAAAGATTGTTGTCACCCATTTAATTTTTTCTTTAGGCGCTTTCACACTGCGGTACTTTTCCCACAAAGGTTCATGTGAACTTAGTTCATGTGAACTCTTTTATCGCGTTCACACCAAAAAGAGCCGGTACTAAAATTAGTTCATGTGAACCTTTTTACCCCCTCGAAAGTCCCTGCTAGAGAGCAGGGACTTTCGAGCGGCTCTTTTGTGAGAAAAGAGCTATATTTCTGATTGGCTGGAAGGATTGCAAACCACGCCCCGCAAAACTCCCAAAAAGTTTAGGGGAAGCCGCCATTTTATTATCCTCGCATTAGCATTATTAGCATTAGCATTAGTCCAGCGTAGAAACGCAGAGAGACTAACTTATGGCAACACAAAATAAAACATGGGAGCGGTGGAGATGAGGAGGTGTCGGCGTTCTGGCGATTTACTCGGAAAGCTTCAGTAGAAGCTGCTGGGAGTCCCAGCAGCTTCTACTGAAGCCAGTCCCTAACTCCGGGGACTTCCGGCCGGGGACTCCGGGTGGCAGTATACGCCGTGAAGTGGTTTGCGGCCTGCCAGTAAACCCAAAGCAGAAGAAGAACAAGTGACGTCAGTGGCTTCATTTGCCTAATCCACCCCCAGGGACTTTTTACAGTGTGAACGCGATCTGTATTTAGTTCATGCGAACTAAAGAGTTCACATGAACTAAGTTCACATGAACCTTTGTGGGAAAAGTACCGCAGTGTGAAAGCGCCTTTTGTGATCTCTTTGTGTATTTTTGTTATGTCGGTGTAGGCCTCAATTGTATTGTTGTTCCTTCAGTTTAATTAAGATTATTAATTGCATGTAGTTTATTTTGGAATTTGGAAAGAATAAAATGAAAACATAAAATGAATTGCAGATATTTAGTTTTCATCAGATGCACCAGTGTTTATGCTTACCAGAACTATTAAATTAATTAATTATTAAATTGATGTACTAAAGGCGCTGCTATGTGTAATTGGTTACCTTGAGTCAGAGGGTTAACTGTTGCTTCCAGTTTCCTGTCTTTATGCTAAGCTAACAGGCTTCTGGCTATAGCCTTGCCTACAGTATATTAACTCCCTCACAGGTGGCAGATGTGGAGACATTTTAGAGTGACCTTACAGTTAATGAGTCATTGCGTTTTAATCACCATTAACAAGTGTGTAGCTGAAAGACTAGTGTGTAAACTCATGGATATTCCACTTGTGGGCGAATATATATAAAAAAAAACAAAAAAAGGTTATCTACACAATGGAACTTACAACATCAGGTTAACATTTTCAACAATAGTAACAGTGCGAGCTTGAGGAACATAAAAAAAAAAAAATAACCAAATGAAATAAAATACCTTACAAATTAAGTTGACTTACTCTACTGTACAGAAACTCTTACCATTTTAAGAGTTTCTGTATTGTTTTAGCATGTCCAGGTAAGATTTTTAAGTAGGACATGAAGACAGTTAGGGTTGGATTTCTGTTTTGTATGTATAAAACTATAAAACGGATGACACACATTCTCTTGACATCATCAAAAATGTTTTATTCAATTTCGAGATTGGGTTTATTATAAAGTAATATCATACCAAAAAGTCTGACTACAGGTACTGTCCCAAAAAGGACGACTCAACATTTAAACTGTGGTGAGTTTAGTAACAGAGAGGGTAAACATTTAATCTATACACTTTACAATTACGGAATTAACTGGATTACACCGTGCAAGATTTCCGAGACATCCTTATTTGGAACCAAACATTTTCTGGGTAATAACCATCCATGCGTACAAAGGATGAACAAATCCTTGTGGGCAGAGGTGTCGAAACAACAGAATGACTCTCACTTCTCTCTGACTGTCACGCACCCTCCCTGGAAATGTTGTGACTCTACCTGCATCTGAGCACGTATACCGTTCACAAGACTTGTGCATAGGTCTGAAAAAGTGTGAAGACTACATAAAACAAATGTTCTTAATAATTATATTTTGTTTGTTTAATCTTTACAAAACCAAGGTATAAAATTGACAATTTAAGTTAATTTCAGTCAGATCCATGCTAGCTATTCCAACATGTTCATGCAAGCTAAGCAAGCTTTTGATTAGCCGCATAGACGTGAATGTTAACCTTCTTGTCCACGCTTTTTGAGTGAGCCCTTTCACTTCAATCATTTGATACATCTCTATTATTAAATGTAGCTTACATTTGTGCCAAGGCAACTACAACTATTCAGTACTACCCAATACTCTGAATAGTTAATCAATATATCAATATAAGATATGAAGAAGCAGCGTGCATTATTGTATATCAAGGACATAATATCAGTGATGGACAGTATGTACTTTATTTGAATCTTTCGCATTACATTCACCTTTATTGCTAAATACACATAATTGATAGCGCTTAAAGGAAGTGTTGAAATGCATTGGAGAGAATGGTCCTCTCGCTTTAGTCCATGTTTATCTTCTCTTGGGTTTAGTGTCATGTCTACACCCCCTCGTATGCTCTCTAAACCACAGGAAGTAGGTACACAGTTGAGAGCTTACATACAGTAGATGTAATCTTATTTGCAAAAGGCTGTGCAGTAGTGGAACATGATGAAACATTTAACCACTGCTTAGTCTATATTAAAAATAGATTTAAAATCAATTTCAAGATCCAGGAGAGACCAACCAGAGTAATAGAACTACAGAGCTGACCCTTTTCATTCAGAATGAATACTTTTTATGCCTTGTTTTTTCTTCTACATGGTGAGTGGTTTTATTTAAATCCTCTATTAATGTATCCAAACAACTCAAATATGCTTTAACTCTTGTTGCATGATTTTATTTTGGCAGCTTCTGGGATAGAGGGAGCAGCGATCAATGTAGAGGGATTCGTGGGGGGAGATGTCTCATTCCAGTGTTCTCACAAATTCGCTTCGAAGATAACTAAATACTTCTGCAAGGCTGCATGTAAAGGAATTGAAGATAGACTGGTTACTGTACAGTCTGGTGCAACAGCCGAGTCGGGAAGGATAACTCTGGTGGACTCAGGGGCCGGAGCCTTCTCCGTGACCTTCAGACAACTCCAGCTGTCAGACATGGGGGGATACTGGTGTGGGGTGGAGAGGATCGGTTTTAACACATACACTTCAGTACAGCTTACTGTTAATGAAGGTATGTGCGTTATCTTATCATTCATATCGTTAACATTACACTGATATCTTTTTTTCTTTTTTTTATCTGCATTCATGAACACACATTTGTATTATTATGGATGGCATGTAAGAAAAGGTGTGTTTACTTAATTGCTGTACATTTATGAGGCACTTGTACTTAACTTAAGTATGCCACTTTATTCATAAACTACACCACATCCACTACATTTCAGGAGAGAATATTGTGTGTTTTTTACTCTACATCTGAATCCTGGGGAATAATTATTGCACATCTGTCCCCCATACAGGTGTTACAAATGAGATAAGAACAGTCAAACCTGAACTTTCTCACACATGGACATATGAGAATATGTCCAACTCAACACAGTTAACATCTGTCATGGACTCCAGTAACCCTGCAATACTTTCAGCAGGTTAGAAGAAAACTTCACTTTGACTTCTTACAAATATATATAATATGTTAAAAAAACGTTTTGAAAGAAATATCTCATCTGACCTTACAGCCACCAACAACAGTAATGGAGGAGAACAGAACGTCAGTACAGGTGGGTTTCATTTTGCATGTCTCAGCTGGAGAATGATGCTTGTGCTTTATGCTTTTTTTCTTTCTTAATGTCTTTCATTTTTTGTAAAGCACTTTGAATTGCCTTGTGTTGAAAAGTGCTATATAAATAAACTTGCCTTGCCTTGCCTTGTGGAAATGTAAAGCGCTAAGCCATCTCTCTTGTACTTTTGTGTTTTTTAGGCACCGTTTTGTTTGCTACAGTTGGGACACTAGGCATGCTCACAATTTTGACGCTGGCATTGATCATCAGGAAATGTAGAGAGACTTCAGAACCTCAACCACGAGTTTGCTTCAACTGCACAGACCTCTTCGGTGCAGACAAAAGAAAGGTATGAGAAAACAAACTCAACACGTCAGGATGTCTAATAGCAAAACAACTGTCTTCCTAGAGAAACATGGCAATTGTCTTGACAGTTGGTCAAATAAAGCTGACAACGATCAGGTTTCCTTTCCTGATTTCAGAGGTCAATGTACAACCAGGGGTTTTCCAAAATACTTTCTGCTCCAATACGACAACACAACCCATCTCATACAAGAAAATGGTTAGCTTTTTGCAAGCTTTACAGGAGCTGATGGGTTTCCCCTGCCTTTAGTCTCTAAGCGCACTTGTATAGCATATGTTTTACTGAGAAAAATGTGCACACAGTTCAATTCCCCACAGTATAGTACACAATAAGCTAATTCTTTAAATAACTTTGCCACTTTTCAGCAGGCCAACTGTGAGAACAATGAAATTGTTGAGCCAGGGAAGTCGTTGAAGAACACATCTCAGAGGCTCTCCAGTACTCAGCACCCAAAGATGGATCCACCAACATCTGCTTCCACAGCACCAGACTTTCATACATATGAGAACATTTGCTGCTCCAAAGGCACTGCACATTCAAGATTCTCCCCAGCAAACAACGGAGACGAACAATACGCCAACACTGTGATTTACATCAAACCATTACCACCTTTATCTGGAAGAACTGTCAAGGGCTGTCTTAGAAAACCCACAAGTGAACCTACAGAAACTACAAATGCCAAAGACCAACCTACAGAGAGCTGTACAAGCAATGCACCCACCTGTCAGTCCCACGCAGTCACAGAAGTGAGGCCAGGATCACTTTGGTTTGGGTTGAATTTATCAAAAACAGAGTGAGTTAGTGTGAGTATGATTGGGATTTTAAAGTTTTGACATTAATAGACAACTGAGCTGTACTTTCTAATCTGCTTTAAAAGTGTTAACCCAGATTCATCTTTCAATTAAAACTGGTTCTGTCTTTTTATTATTTCAGAGACAAACAAATCAAAATCATCTTCAGCTTTTTTGTCCATTTGCAGATACTTCAATACAAATAAAAATATTTGATTACAAGGCGTAACCGTGTGAGTTCAACAAGATTCAAATGTTACAGCGGAGACAGTTTATGCACAATCCTAGCACGACAAGTTTATATTTTCTATGATTTCTTTTAACTACTGCCATATTTATGGAGAATTTACATTTTCTTTCAATTACAGGGAACTGAGTAAATGGCTAAGGCTATCTCATTAGCTAGCATTAAGAACGTGGACACTGCAGTTAACTCTGTTTTATATTTATTTCAAAGAAGTTGTAAAAAAAGTAATAAAGAGTATTTTCTATGGTCTTTAGAAAGTAAGATTCTGGGGAATTCTTACATTTTGGCTCTATAGTCCATAGGGCAGTATGATATAATAGTGTTTATTTTCTTGGTTAAAATGTGCATACATCTCCGGTGGATGTTGGTCAATGTAGTGTCTTCAGGTGACAAAAGTAAGCAGGTTTTTATGACTGAAGTTAGACCGTGTGGGATGGAGAGGGCTGATGCGTGGGCTGATAAGTGGGTTAAACTGGTGACTCCTAGTGGTCATATTACCAAAGACACTCTGAATAATGACACTACTCACCAAATTATAATTTCCGGGACATTAATGTTAACATTTTAAACGTTTGTGTGTACTATGGGGCAACATATAAAGGAACAATATTTTATAAAGATGGGAAATGAAAGGATGATGAAGGCTTGCTTTCAGCCAGTGTTATATACTATTTCATATTGTATATAGTTCTGTCTAACCAGCATTTCGACCATCCATTTCAGCTCCTTTATTATGATATATTATTTTATATTATATATTATTATTATTAGACTTCATGATGTTTTTCTTATGTGGGTCATTTGGTTCAGAATAATACATCTTTTAGTCTCCTCCTCCATAATAATAATACAAATAAAACACTCCAAACGCTTGCCTTTCATGGCATTCCTTTTACATATAAGTTGCTTTAATAGCTTCAACCTTGAATTATCTTTCACCTTTCACAACCTTTTAAACATGTTCTCACTAACTCTTCATATCTACATGAACTTGTCAGTGGAATACATAAAAAAAAGCATTTTGTTGTTACACAGAATAATGTTATTAATAGTTCATGTTGAGACGAAACCATAACAGGTGCTAATTTTGATTAAAACATACTTTATATAAAGATTTATCAAATGTAAGGACGTCGAGTACTGCCACTGAATAGAAACGTTGACATTTATTCATTTCTGGGTGCACTTGAGATCTACCCAACCCATCATCCTTTTACATTCATGGGCTGAAGGTTATGTGGTGAAATGTTTTTACATGAAAGAGGAAGAGGTTGACACACATGGACATGAAAGCACCAGACAGAACACACAGATAGTTTTTATTCCAGGTGGCTGTCTCTTTGTGAAGAAGTTGAGCGTGTGGACTGAATGTAAACTGAGAACGATGGGAGCGACGTGGATCTCATGGAGAACAACTACAACCGTGTTCATCACTCTTCTACAAATCAAAGGTGGGCCGCTATGCTTTAGGTATTTCAAAGCTGATTAAATAGTCTTTAAATGAGTCAAAACTTGGTTACGCAGCTAACAATGATTTTGTGTCACTGACAGCTCTGATCAGTGTCCAGACTACAGTTACCGGTGTGGAAGGCCAGACGGTTGAATTCAAATGTGAATATGAAGATGGCCATAAGAGCAAAGTTAAATACTTCCGCAATGACAAAAATATGATCCTGATACAGACAGAAAAAGATGTCCAGTCGGTGATAAATGGACGTTTTTCTCTTTTCGACAACACCACCGGATCCTTCTTCATCGTGAGGCTGGACAAACTCACCTCAAGGGACAGTGGGACGTACAGGTGTGGGGTGGACTCACAGCTGGTCATAGAGCTGAAAGTTTCCCAAGGTACGTCGTGTAGGATTACTGGTGGTCTTCAGCATGCACAACCAAAATTATATTTTCTGGTTAGTGCTTCACAATTATAGATAATCGATAGCTAGCCAGACAAATGTGATATAGTTTCTGTACACCTGGTGATCTGGAATCGTCGGGCCACATACCATAAATGAGAACTAAGTACTGATACCTTTCTCACACAGGTTCCTTTAAAAAAAAAAAAAAAATTTTTTTATATTTCTGTTAAACACACACACACACACACACACACGCACGCACGCACGCACGCACGCACGCACGCACAAACACACACACACACACACACACACACACACACACACACACACACACACACACATACTGTTAGTAAACTTATTATAACTGAATGTAACTACTTTTTTGTTTTCTTTTATATTGCTACCCTTCAACAACAGCCAACTTTCTCACACAACACAGTAAGTAAGATCATAATATATCAGTTACCTCTGTGTCTGTTAATTGTATTTTCTGTATATTAATACTTAATACCAACCATACTACCAAATCACCGTAAAGTGGACAGTGAGTAATGTTTGTGTGTTCATCTGTTCTCATAGTGCGCTATAGCGCTCGTAATGATGTGTGTGTGAATCCTCCAGATAAACCTCAGTGGTTCTCTCCTGCAGAGTTCCACCTGCCGCTGTTTGTGACTGCAGCTATGTGTATGGCAGCGTTGCTGTTTGTATGCCTGTTTACACTTTGTCTTCGCCTGGCTGTTAAACACCAAAGATCCAGCCCACGCCAAAAGAGAGAGGTTTGTCAAAAACTTAAAGGAGCCCTTTTATAAATGTTTGGGTTTCCCTTTTCGGTTTGTTTGCATGTAAATGGTCTACAAAGGCTAAAATCCCAAAGAGTTTCTCTCCCACACACTCTCCCCCCCCCCCCCTGCCTGAAACGCCTCCATTGGACTCCTTTGTTTACTTCTGATACATAGTGACATCATTATGTAGTTAGTAGAGACATCACTATGTAACACTTCGATTCTATAGGCTAATGCTCCGACACATTGTACGTGATAGGCTAAGGGGCGGGACATCTCTGAGCGGTTGACCAATCACAACAGAGCCAGCTAACCAATCAGAGCAGAAGACTGGGCTCTGGTTTCAGACAGAGGGTGAAAATAAGTGCTGCAGTAAGAGAAAAATAAAGACCTATTTGAACATGAAAGCATGTGAACATGTCACAGTAGAGGTGCTAAAAACAAATATGAAACCTAAACATGAGCATAATAATGGCCCACACTCATATCAAGACTACAGGGGTGACTATGGGCCGGCCCACCACTGTTGTTCAGACTTTAATCAACTAGCGGATGGATTGCAAACATTATGGTACAGACATTCATGTTCCCATTAGGATGAATTAATATAAAAATGTTTGTTTAGTGCCTATATTAAAAACGTATTGTTAATGTAAGCAATTTAGCAGATTTCACCTGTTGATAATCAATTATAAACTTTATACCTGCTGAACATTAACCATATTAACCATATCATTGTGGGATTATTTACATTATCTTAAAACAACATTGTGTCCGGGTACAGGCTCCCAGAGTTGCTAGCATGGCAAAGTAACACATTGTCCAGTAAAGCCAACACATTGAATTTAGAGTATAATACAACCAAGAAGCAGTTCTCTGAGGTTTCTGTTCATCCCACAGGAGTCATCTGACTACGAGACAATGACGCCTGGTGTAAGAACTGACTCGGATGCCCGCTGCAGCTTTTCTACACCAGGCTTGGATGATCTTTCAGCTCTACCACCGCCATCACCTGACCTCTGCTCCCATTTCACATCAAGGAATCGCGAGTCCACTGTCACTCTCGGCCTCTGTGATTATGTGGATGTTGATGTACCAAAGCCCATCTGCCAGTACCAAGATCTGGATCTCAGTCGGTTAGAGGATCACGTCTATCACAGCCTTCATGGAAACAGCCATCCTAAAGATGGACCTGTGATTAACTCTTGATACTGTTGAAGGATAATTCAAGGTTAATGAAAACAAACTGAAAGTTACTTTTTATTAACTTTTGTGTTGTTGTTGTTGTTGTTGTTGTTGTTGTTGTTGTTGTTGCTGTCTTTCCTGAACTTGCAGAGATATGTGATATGATTACTGATAAGTATGATAGCCAAACGGCAACAGTAAGGCTGTTGTAAACCAAAATGATCAGCCATTGTGTATAGATGAAAGAAAGAGTTGAAGTGACAAAAATAAAAGAACGCAGGTCTCTAAACAGAAAATGTGTTAGGTGGCAGCCAAATAAGTTGTTGTCTTGTCACTGACATGAGAATAATCAGGAGAACAGCAAGACAAAAATACGATGATCACCGCTACACTTCTTACAGCCAATGGGGATAAAGAAACAGACAGCAGGACTACCAGCCGCTTCAGCTTTTCTACCGCTTAGCACCAGGACACCAGAAGAGATAACTCAGATCCACCCTGAAGGCCTATTCTTCTCCACTCTTAGCTTCAATAAACACACAGACTGCAGCACCTCGAACCGCATTCCATACATATGCAAATATGACACATAAAGCAACATATCAAACAACAGTCCATTACAATCTTTAAACTCCGTGCTGATCACTGTTAAGTTCACTATTATACACTCTAAGAGTTATCAAATCCAGCGCAGGTTGTTGAAAGGTTCAGATGTTTTTTTTGCTAACTTTTATGCAAGACAGATAATATAGGAATAATGTTAATTCCTCCGAAAAATTATGTGTTTAAGTAATGCAGCATCTTCATTAGATAATCAATTGTATCAATACATAGAATGTATTTTTTGTATACTTTCTGGGAATGTTTGTTTGTGGTTGACTTAAGAGTTGGTAAAGCTGTGAAACATATTCAAACACACCTCCCACATAGAACACACACACACACACACACACACACACACACACACACACACACACACACACACACACACACACACACACACACACACACACACACACACTGAAACTGAAACTGAGAAGGTGATGTGAAAAAAGGAACTGCCGGTGGGAAAGCCTCACACTCACACCTATAGCTCTTACATAACACAACACACTTTATGATGAACCTCAGTACTTCCTGGTTCAAATGAGGCTCCAGTTGTGTTTCTTGAAGATAATTAAAGGGGTATTGGACTCCAATTATTCTACTATCAGTCATAATAATGGGGTGTAGGATCTAATGAGTGTTGTGCATTAGAACATGCCTCTGCAGTGATTATAATTGATAATTCAGGGATGATCCATCAGCACAGGGAAAACGTCCGCAGCCCCAGTGGTGGGCTTAGAGACCAACACATCGGTGAGGACGTCCATCTGCGCTACTCCACAGAATGTATTCCCAAATATATCCCTACATGTCCAAAACTTGCCAGAGAATCAGCACATAGGCCTATCAAAGTGTTCTATCACAGTGATCCAGTGATAAGGAATAAGTACATCACAAACACCTTAACACATCATGTTTTTCACAATGAGCCAATTGTGAAAATGTTTGTTTAATATAAAGAATGTACATGTAGAATACACTAAAGTTACATCATCTTAAAGTGAGGTCTGCATGGATTTAATATTCTCTGAAAAATAGCTTTGACATTTGTATTAGTTAGTTGAAAGCAATAATATAAAAAAATATAATTGTGTTCAACATAATAGTATTGCTTTCAACTAACTAAATACCAATATGTGTAAGGCTGCTGTTTACAACATGCATTTAAAGGTCCCATGTCATGCTTTTCCGGTTATTTCCCGTCCCCTTGTGTGTTATGAAGGTTTTTCTGCATGTAAACGGTCTGCAAAGTCACAAACCCTCAAAGTACACCCTGTAGCGCAGGCATCGTCAAACTACGGACTCTGGTCCGGATCCGGACCGAACCACCACTGTCTCCGGACTCTGAGCAAATTATACTTTTCATATGTATTATCTCTCTGTATTATATGTGAGACATCGCCACAACTTATTCGCAACGAGTCAAAATTCTCCGCTATGTCCACTGCAAACAGCGCTCTGCATGTCTGACTGTTCCACTGTGTTCCACCTGTGTGTGTCAACGCTTTGGTCCAATCACATTCAGCATCCAGTCAGCGTTTTTTTCCCCCCAAACAATCTGCGAATCAGAGGCACAGTAGGGCGGGTCTTCGCGGACTGCGGGTGGGAAAAATGTGTGTGTCTCTTTCAACCTGTCTAAGTCAGAGCGAGAATTAAAAACAAAAACATTCAGAGCGAGAGTTAACAGCTCATCTAGTTCCATCTGTACTGTAGCTAGTAGCCTAGTTTCACCTACGGGGGTGGCAACTGACACCCTAAAAATAGGCCTTGCCACCCCAGCTGCCACCCCAGTTGGCAGCTTTGTTTTGAAAGAAAAGTTGTGGCTCATCGGACATTTATGAGAGAAAGTCTCTAATGTCCGAGTGCAAGTGAATGCAACACAAGATGCACGTCATGTAACCCCTCCCCCGGTCCTGGCGCGAGCGTGGACATACGATTGGCGGCGATTTCATTTTGAACTGGACGGCGCAAAACGAGAAGCATTCGGACCCAAGCACTGAAGGAATGAGGTATTTGCGGTCTACACTGACAGAGAAGAGACTGTCAGTGTGGCTGTACTGAGCATTGAATCAAAACGCACTAAAGCTGTTGATCTTAATACGTTTGTGAGGCGTTTCGCTGAACAAAATGGTAATCGCCGCATTCAGCTGTAATAGACATGTCAACTTGATGCTCTGCTCACGGATGAGCATACACAACTATTAAGATGACCTTACGTGTGTAAATATATTTTTTTCTTTGAGGGGGTCTGCCCCCAAAAAACTGTTTTAAATCCTGAGAAAGTCAAATAAGACGGTGTGTAAAACTACACTGCCCAGCCAAAAAAAAGTAACCACTTTGATGTAACTAGGCCAGTAGGTAAGGACTTTCCACTGGATAATAACTGCAGTATAAAAGAATGCATGACTGAAGTGATGGAGACCATGTTGAAGGCAAACAAAAAGAGGAAATAACAGGTCAAATCAAGCAAATCCCCCTCTCAGATTCCACAGCAACCAGAAGAACATACATACTGGCTGGTGATTTGATTCATCAGCTTTGTGATGGAATAAAAAATGCACAGTGCATTTCCTTAGCTGTGGGTGAGTCCACTGACACCACTGACAATGCTCAGTTGCTGGTGTTTGTGAGTTTTTATGATGAGGCAAAGGGGGAGTTTGTTGAAGATGTGTTGGGCCTGACGAACCTCAGTGGACACACAAGGGGGAATACATTTATAAAGCACTAATGGGAATGCTGAATGAAAGAGGGTGCAGCTGCCTTTATTCATAACTGTGCAGCTCTTACACTGCGACTCTGAGGGATCAAGCACAGACACAATAACAATGAAAACTGCTGCATACAGATTATTTTTGTTTTTGCAACCTCGTGTTAAGAATCTTGTTGCAATTGTTTAAAAGTTTGAATGACCGTAATAAACGGACCTGTCTTATTGAAACATTTTTTTTGGACCTTTAAGATTTGTATTTGAGTACCCCTGCTGTAGCGGGTAAAACTCTAACACAGAAAAGACCGGTCTATGCTGCCCCAACGCTTCGCTGGAGATGTATCTTTTTCTTCCTGGATCGTAGTGACGTAAGGGTCTAAGTGACGTAACGGCTAAGCGGATTGGTCTAAATGGACCAATCCGCGAACTTCCTCACACACACTCATGTAAAGGAGGGGGATGGGTAATAATTCATGGAGAGGGAAAGGGTTCTTTTAAATCAGGTAGAGAGCAAAACTGGGTAATCAAGGAGCCAACTACTACGTTTAAGATTTTAACACAATCATTTATTCAGAACATAAGACTTTACTAAGAAAACTAAAATCAGAGCTGTCTAAAATATAATCTCAGTAAAAAGATAGTCTAAAGCTATTTTAAAATACAATTAAAACAATACAAAGAATTCAAATGTTAAAAGTATTTTCTCAAAACCAGAGTCTTTCCAGGGCTGTAAAGGTGCTCCGTCGACACTCTCTTAATCCCTTGGTTGCGTGTGCCTCTGCTCCTGCTGCGTTCTGCCTCTGCTATCTCCTTCAGTTTCTCCCGGTCTCAGTCTGTCCTCTGCTGCTCTTCTCCTTCCATTTATAGGCAGGGCTGTTGGTGTAAATTGGCTCCAGGTGTGGTCACTCATTGTCAATCAGCATGGCTTGCCATGCTGATTGACAATGATTGACCAATCCAAACATTGGACAAATTGGACAAAGATTGACCAATCCAAACATTTCAAAAATAAAAGCATGCAGCAGGAAGTTAAAACCAGTTAAAAAGGCAAACACATTTCAGAGTAAAATCACACAATAAAAACGTATAAAACACACACTTAAAACCAATCATTAAAATACATTGCCATGTGACACTCACTCAGCCTCATCTTTTCTCAGCCGGAGCTCCGCGGACACACACACAAACTCACAGCCAGGCTACGAGTGTGTGTGTGTGTGTGTGTGTGTGTGTGTGTGTGTGCTCAGGCTGAGTTCAGGCTGAGTTTCGCGGTGTCTCGCTGTCTCGCAGACCCCACGCAGCAACCAGGAAATGACACCAGTAATCCAGCTCACACTGTCCGCTCCTCGAGCCCTATGCTCGAGCCTCAAATGACGGAGCAGCGAGCCCCGCAACGTCCCGCCAACACGGCACCCAGGCCCCACACAGCATTCTCATCTGTTTGTCATTACTGGTGTCATTTTCTGGTTGCTAACGCCATTGTAACACATAAACACTGATGTTCCGCTGTAACGGTGGTTGACTCATCAGAACAGAGTGGGCGAGCTGACCAATCAGAGCACAGTGGGCTCATAGTATCATACTATACAGAGATGCTGTATGAGAAACCAATGTGAGTTTGGAACATTGAACAATGTAAATCTATTCTACGTAGACCTCAACAATGGAATTATGATCAGTATAATGGCCATGACATGGGAGTGTTTAGTAGGTGGATTTCTAACTTCACTTCCTGTTTTGTCTGATACAGTATAACGCTTTATATTTTACCATAACTTGACATAGGAGGACACAGTCAAACAGTGTACATTAAAGACTGTTACATGTGTGATGTCCTACTCTAAAATGTTTTAATGTTTACTTTAATAAAATGTATTATGTCAACAGGTTCCACATAACTGTATTAAGTTAGTATTAATAGTATAAAGTTGAACCTATTCTTTTGTATTTAAACTTAATAATATCATTGCTTTCAACTAACCCTTACATAATACACTTATTTAAGTCAACGGTTGACATTTTTTTCAGCATAATAAAACACATTATAATGTTCATACAGGTTTTTTACTGTAAATGGACAAGGTACATAAGCACGTTTTGAATAACCCATTAGGATGTTATCCTTCCTATGGAAATATTACACATAATCAGGTAGATCACTAAAATACCTTCAGTTCAGAATGGATATTAATAGCTTGTATTTTAATATTGTGTATCCAAAGATAAGAGGGCCATTGTGCAGTTGTTCTGTGAAGCACAACCCTATTTGTTTTTACGTGAGAGGAAGAGATCATGCGATGCAGCAGGTACATGAGCCTGCACTCTCACATCAATATCTATCCAACCATCTTTCTATCTTTCTCTCCTCCCTCCTTTTCTGTTTCTCTCTCTGAATACAAAAACTACAACCTCATTTTGAAATGCAAATGTTTCACGTCAGCTTCTCTAAGAGGCACATTCATATTTCAGAGAGACAGTACATCACTGATGTCATGACACTTCTTTTTTATAAATGTACCGTTAATATTTGAGCTTGGTTTTAAACTATATTTAGGTGGAAAAAGCAGGACTGACATGATGAGGATATCACTGACATGTATCATTGTCTTAATGACAGGTAAATATATTTTTCTGTTCTTCTTTGATGAATATGCAACATGTTTGGTAACAACCAGTCTACTGTTTGATGATGAAATAACTTTATTTTCTATTGTCTGGTCTTTTAAAATAAGAAGAAAATCATGCACCAAGCAAACTAAAAAACAGACATGGAAAGTACATAAGTAAAATGTTGAGGGTATTGTACTTTACTTGAGGATTTGTATATTTTCTACAACTTCTACTTCTGGAGCATATTTCAGAGGAAAATGCACTATTTACTTTCAAATGTCTTTGATTTACTCTTATGACCTTTTTATTACCTTGCAGTCTATGCATCTATTGACAAAGCAAATGGCCTACCAAAACCCACGCCTGAGCTAGAAGGTTGGTAATGTGCGCGCTGCCTTGTTGTCAATTTAAAAACCTTTTGCTTATGCCATTGATTGTGGCTGCCACTGCTATGGGGCTTATATTGTTTGCACCTGTGTTTGGGACCTTGATGTGTTTTTATTTAGCTGTTTAAGTGGCAGTTTATTTGTATTCATGTAGCGTAATGCCTAGTGTACACTCACTGGTTAATTCTTGTTACTCTACTCGGGAATGCATATTTTGATTATTTTTAAGGTGTAAGCCCCAGGCCTCCTCAAAATAAACAGATCTACATAAAATATATGCACATGGTTCTATTTCCAGTGATCAGCATCTCATCACAACCCTAAGTATTTTACACATTCCATTACTTGTTTCTTCGTAAACTTTTTAACAAGTGATTTTTATTCTGCGCAAAATGTATTTTAAGTACGCTCATTTGTACTTTTACTTGAGTACGATACTCTTGTAGATCTATTCTTTTGACCTCTGCTCTACACGCTACACTCTTTGATTTAAGTTGTTCAGGGCTTCATCTCCACTTATAGGATTTGTTTTGCTGTTTCAAATAAGGGACATATAATTAAACAAGCACTGACCACAGGTGTCCATTTGCTAATAAACAGTACCTGCAAACAAATGCTGAAACAATGTTTGCCTTTATGCATGAATCTTGAACACAAATAAACTCTTCTGACAGTATGTATTATTAAACAGCTTCAACTGTTGTCTTTCAGTTCCAGACATAATTGGCATTGTGGTGGGCTGTCTTGCCTTACTGACACTTGTGCTCGTGCTTGTGCTGATACTGTGCAGACACAAACTCCCCTGGACAAAAGGTGAGGGGCAGAAATGTAGCATAAGAAACACGCCATAATCTTTATGAATTTGTGGTTAAATATACATTATTCTTATCATATATTCTGTGTTTATTATTGAAAAATTATTGTGGGTGAAGTAATGTATTAATTAATATATTTACTAACAAAACAGATCATGTGATTTCAATGCTGAATAACAGAGGTAAATGGGCAAACAAATATCTTGTTATTTACATCAATTCAAATTGTCTCTTTTCTCAGCGTGTTGTGCTGCGGGGGGATCATCAGAGCAAAGGACAACTGCTGAACATAACAGAGAAGTGTGTGTGTGTGTGTGTGTGTGTGTGTGTGTGTGTGTGTGTGTGTGTGTGTGTGTATGTATGTGTGTGTGTGTTTTTGTATTCATGAGTTTTTATATAAGTATGATCTGCATCTATCACACTGCTCCCCTTCATCTTCTGCAGGGACTTCATGAAGAACGACAGTATGAGGAAATACAGATGCCGAACCAGCAGGCAAGCTCAGGAAATGCCCTGACCTCCGGCTATGCCACCGCTCACCCTCCGGAAGACTCTCTCCACTATGCAAGTGTACATTTTCAGGCGGATTCTGACTTGGCATTGACAGACAAGAATACTGACACAAATAAGAACGTCTCCTTGGCCAGCGACTACTCCTCTATAAGTCCATCTCAGGGTCTCACTCATTCTCCTCCATTGGCAGAGCAGAATGTTTACTCTACAGTCTCCAAGTCTAAGCAATGATGAGGCAGACTTCCACCCGTTACTGTTAAAGGGACATTTCACCCCAAAAACTAAATATATATATCGGTTTCCCAATAGGCTACCTGTATTGCCATTTATCAATCAACACTTGGTTTGGTTTTGGAGGACACCATTACATCTCCCTCTGTCGTGAGCACCAGCCTCTCGCCATAATGCACGCATGGTGAAACAGTACAACGGTAATAGTTCCCAAATAAACGTTATTCAAAGGAAGGCAGACACCTCTATTGCCGATTACTCCACCACACATCAATAAAAACATTGAGACGGTTAAATAGCACAACCGGATCTTTTTATTCTTATTTTGGGATGAGCTGTTCCTTTAACTCTGCTGCTAGAGGCAGCCTGCTGTGAGAGATTTGCATTTGTGTTGTTACACTCTACAACCAGAACATAGCTGGCAGCCTTTTTGAGAGATGGACTGTATCATCTGTTACAAAATAGAGATTAGCATCCCTCATGGCTTTGTAGTCATTTAATGAAACATATACTGTATATGTGAATATTCATTTTAGTATGCTCTGAATGCTACTGATGATTAAAATTATGCTTGAGAATACTGTTTGTTTCTGGTCATTTCACTCATTTTCTTTATTACATTTGTCATTTCCAAACCTATTCAAGCAACTTCCAAATCAACACTTCGGCCCCAGCTAAAATGCAGTACCCACCAACCTGTTGTGTGTGATTATTATAATTTTTTTGAAAGGCGCTATAACATTTGAAACTATTATTATTATTATTATTATTATACACTTGCCATTGTTGTGTGAACAACTCAGTTGCAACTATTTGCACTCAGAAACATCTTTACAATAACAAAAGTGCCATTTAAAAAAAGGTATTTAAAGGAAAAAAAATAACAGGCCTTTTTTTTTGTACTTATAGCCAAAGCGCCATACAAACAAAAACAAAACACAAAACAACAGAAGTTTAACCAGAACACGTTTTTTAAACAGTGGCGTTTTGTGGCACTGTTGACCTCCCATGATATCAACATTACTTTAACTTGTTTTGCAGCGCCCTCTTCTGGTTGAGCAGGAGATCAGCAGGTGATTGTCTTATGTTTCTCTATTGGTGTTCATGGGGATTCTTTAAAATTGACTGATACTTAGTTACTCTACTTGTCTAACCGAGACTGACGCTGCAAATGAAAGTCTATAGATTATTGAAAAAAAGTGTTCATTTTGTCCTAAATCACTTACATTGAAAGTGCATTTAAAATACAAACGGCCAAAATGAATAGGACACATCAGTGGCATAACAAGGTTGTGATTGGCCCCGGAGCAAATATTGCCCCAAACATAAGCCTACGCTGATGCGCTCACACACGTACGGACACACACAACCACTCATAAGCGCCACATGTAGGATACCAACCACAGCCTGCCCTGGCCTCAGACCACCACAGCCTGACAACGGCACAGCAAACTAATCACACAATCACTTTACAGAATTAATTGAGATTTGGAGGACGATGTATGAAAACAAAAAAAAATCTAATTTCGTCAGTTTAGCCATTACATCTCCTTGTTATCTCTTGTCCTTTCTCTTTTGAGCGCTGCTCTTGTGCTTTGGTTTGCTGTACATTATAAATGCAAGCTATTACATGTTTTATAATGCTGCCAAACTTGCTGCTGCTAGCTACAGTAGGCCTACCTATAACTTTGAGGTTGATTAAACGGTTCGCTCGTCAGGCAAGGTATCACATGACATGAAAGGGAGCAAGGTCATTGGACAGACAAATTACAAATTATGTAGGTTGCTTGGTTACTTTGAAGACTGCGTGAACTGGTCAATGCCATTGACCCCCCCCCCCCCAAAAAAAAGGTACAGTATAGGCCCCTGGCCGGCTCTGGGCCCCGGTGCGTTGCACCGGCTGCATCGTCGATAGTTACGCCACTGGGACACATTATTACAGCAAGCAAAACCTGATTCAGTGATGAAATGGGTTAATATGGCTTATTTTTGATAAAGCACAAATAAGTGAATTCATTCGCAAAACAGATGTGGTATTCTTGAATTTAATAACAACTGTTTGATTTCCTTGAGTGCACAATGGAGAGGTTTTTTTTTTTTTTACCGCATAAGCACTCTTCAATGCGTTCATACTTTTTTTGTGACTACAATCACACTTTGTAATTCCCCTGTTTCAAAGGGCAAGTCAAAAAACGTTATTGTAAAAAATGATGACGTATGTGTGTACATTGACGGACGTTCCATCTGACCAATGACAGAGGAGAGTGAGGCTGTAGGCGGAGCCATAATCTCCGGTGGCAGCTGGGTGTCGCCTGACCGGATGATGACAGAAGTTTACAGTTAAATGTGTGTACTTTTATCATGCAATCATCCAGCTCTGTCTGCAGCTGGGAATTTTCACTCTAACCGTCCTTGTGTTTTCATTGAATAAACTCACAGAAGCTTTGACAGACTGCGGTGCCGTCTGGGAACTTTTGTTTGGCTGGAAGAGCGACCCTTTGGCTCTTATTTGACCGGGGAGCAGAGCAGGATAGAGCCCGCTGGGCTGACCGAGGTGCCGCTATGGGAAACCGGGGGATGGAAGACCTAATTCCCCTCATCAACAAGCTCCAGGACGCCTTCAGCTCCATCGGCCAGTCCTGCAACTTGGATCTGCCGCAGATAGCTGTCGTCGGCGGCCAAAGCGCAGGGAAGAGCTCCGTGTTGGAAAATTTCGTCGGAAGGTTGTACCTATTATATGTGTCATTAGATTAATCTGACACTCTAAACGTGATTTGTTATTTTTCTCAATGTAGTTTGTGACTGTTGCTGTTATTTTACGCCAAACCTTTGCGTACAAATCGCCAACTAAGCACTTGGTTACACGCTCTTTGGTGCCTCCCAGTTTTTCTTAACGGATTTTTTTTCCTTTTTGGAACTGAGCATTACACAGTACACGAACAAAAACAGATGTTCACAATAACCGAGGGGCAATTTGGTTAAAAGTGTGTTTCAAATATATTTTAGGTTAGAACTCCATATCCTAAATCTTTCGAAACGTTACTTCCTCAGCAGGAATATTAGCAGAAACTGCCTCTTCCTACCAGGCCCATTCTGTCAAACATTTACAAAGGTTGCTTTTCTTTGAGGCTGAATGCTTGGGTTGTAAATACATCTTTATTATGCTTCACATTTCAAAGGTCAGGTCAATGTTTTACCTTTAAGGGTGAGGAACACACAATAGTTGCAGTTTAGGTCAGGTAATGGTCAGATAGATTAATTATTGTAAGGGTCAGTGCAAATTAAAATTCCTCCCAGCATGCCTGCACTGCTGATTTTCTTTGTGAGGTTGATGAATAAGTATAAAGGTATTTGAATGACTAGTTGATGGCAAATTGCAGCAAAAGCAACAGTTACACTAAAATCATATGTTACTGCTCAGTTTATAAACTGTGTAGGAAAAAGTGCTATGAAAAAGTCATAGACAGTTTGTTTTTCAGTTATAACATTGAGCCTTGAAGGAAAATCTGAGGAAAGGGAAGAGGAAGAAGACATGTCGCTGCAGCAGAGATACTGGAGATATCTGTTGCAGCTTTGTGTTTTTATCTCCAAATAAATAGGTGCCCAGAGACGGGAACACTTCTACATCTCAGAACGATTTCACTTGTTTTCCAAGAGATTGGGAATGTTGATTAGGCAGCTAAGTCTCCTTTTTTTCCTGTCGCCTTTTGTCTCCGAGTCCCAAGTGGCTGGGCAGACAGTAGGGGCATTGATGAGTCTGTGTTGGGGTCATCAGTGATGTCACCAGCTGCACTGTCATGTGTATATGACACACTGGGTACCAAATACCCACAGACGGCTACTTAGCTGTTTACGTTTGTTAATTAGCTATAGTGACATGCAGCCGTTATCAACATTGGCTTGTTGATATACATTTGATATAGTTTATATAATGATTTTTAGTTAGTTAGCTGTTTTCAATATATCGTTTGCCAACATGTCGTAGGAACGCCTAAACAGGTCCAAGATGGAAAACATTGAACCTACATTTACGATTGTCTTAAATTGGTTATTGAAAAATCTCCAAAAGTAAAATCTTTGTCAGCTTTTGACGTGTCCTTAAACTGCAGAATGTTTCTTACCTCTTACCTCTGCTTTTATAATAATGATTGAATTTAATGAAAATTGAAAGCATGTGCCAGTTGATCCCAATTAGCAAAAGTAAACGCTGCACCATTGGCCATAACAAGGCATAAGATTTGCTTTGCTGTGTACACACAGAAACATTTAAAGAAAAGTAGGGAGAGTTAAGATGAAAATCTACAAACAAAAGTATAAAGAGGCTGAAGCATTCTTAAGCCCAAGCTAATTTGTAAAGCACTTTGGATTGCCTTGTGTTGAAATGTGCTATATAAATAAACTTGCCTTCCTGAAACAAATTCACAAGTTTAGAAGTGGACGTTCTTCTGCAGGAAGTGAAAGTCAAACTCGGTGCAGATACCATGGTAGCATCAGTGTATAACACTAAAAAAGATTCTTAATTTAAAAAAAGTGTTTGCCTTGTAGAACAACCCAAATTATTATTTCAAAAATATAGTATTATAAAGGAGAAAAATATAATTATATAAAACACAATAACCAATTATTTTTGCAAGGACAAATCCCAAATAAGAAGCATTGGTAATTGTCAAAATCTTCACAAATACTGAATTTATTAGTTTAAGTGTAACATTTGTCCGTAAGAATGGTTGGTGTATGTGGCACATTGTTTATTTAGATTTTTCCATATTGTTTCCTTTTGTTTGTAAAGTTTTGGATGGTTTTGCCATCAGGTCTCAGTTTTTGAGGGGACAAAACCTATATTAATCTGTCCATTTCAAAAACACGTCACCTTCACTTCAGTTTCTTTTTTTTTCCAATCAACATCCGAAATGAAAAGATGTTCTGTGTGCATTAAAAGAAAAACAAACAAAGGCACCGAAGAAGAAGAAGCAGCTAAAACTAGAGAACATGTGTTAAATAAGACTTGCAGATTAGTTATCTTTCAATCAATTTAACAACACATTTAAAAAGCCCAAATCCCCAAATTTACCCAAGACATGTTTAATGAACACATGGATAAAATATATTAGGATTTAATTGATTAACTGTCTTGTTGTTGGTAATGGTATTATTCATGTTGCGCTTCAAAAGTGACAGGAAGGGATGAGGAGGATGTTGTGTAACATCCTCACTGCAACGCCAGCAGTGGACAGATAGTGTGTGTGTGTGTGTGTGTGTGTGCGCACGTGTGCGTGTGTGTGGCCTGCTTACCTTACGCTAAAACTCAGTCTTGCTGCTGACCTGGCAAACACACAAAGAGAAGAGCAGACAGACATATTCTCATGGCCTGGAGAGTTTGGTAGTCAGTGACCTGGAAATGATCACAATTATATTGAACACGAGTTTCCATTCGATGAGCGTGTATGTAATGCGAAGTGGAAACAAAGAGACATGCTTCTTTCTCTATACACTATTTATGATGGATAGTGTTGTAAGGTAATCCTGCCATGTATAAATAATGTACACATGTACACGCGTAGACACTGCGGATTGATTTTAGAGCTTGTAAGCTTTTCATTTGGGTAGAAGCTGAAACATATTCATTACTGACATGAGATGTTTGAAAACAAAATGCTTATTGGCAGTTTAGTTACTGAGGGAAAAGTCAGGGATCAATAAGAGTGCAATCGATTGCTCTTGCTCTTTAACACTTTATTGTTGTGACACAGCCAACACAGCCATTTGTCTGTCCTAAGTTATCAGTGTGTTTTAATTTGTATATCTCTCTCTACTTCAGGGACTTCTTACCCAGAGGATCTGGCATCGTCACCCGTCGTCCGCTCATCCTCCAGCTGGTTAACTCTAAAGTGGGCAAGTAAAGAGATCAACTGTCGGTTTGCACTCTTAAATCCAGACTTTACAAAACATAGAGTCTGACGTGTGTAGCCAAAATGAACAGTACTAGCTCATAGAAAATGTATAGTTAAAATCAATATTTCATCAAATGCATTGCAAAACAGATGTGCAGAAAATGCACTGAGTTATAGACAATTTAGTTGTAAAACAACCCAAAAGCACACATGAGCGTTTTTTGTGAAACTGACAGATTCACACAATCTTTTCTCAAAAATCCATAGTTCAAATAGCTTATACAACAAGTTTAATGAAACAAATACTGCACTCCCCATCTTTGTGGCATCTCTCTCTGTTGCACCATTGTAACGTTTCTGTATCTATGTTCATATCAATTAATTGCCCTCTTTCCTGTCTAAATCTCTAATTTTCTCCGTGTAGAGTATGCAGAGTTCCTGCACTGTAAGGGCCGTAAGTTTGTGGACTTTGATGAGGTCCGTCTGGAGATTGAAGCGGAGACTGAAAGGGTCACCGGATCCAACAAGGGCATCTCCACCGTCCCCATCAACCTCCGTGTCTACTCCCCTAATGGTAACACACACACAAATAAAAACGTAGCCATTTTGGTAAAGGTTTTCAGCCTCTAACCTCCTTCCTTATACCCTATCAACATCTCTCAGTGCTGAACCTGACCCTGATCGATCTGCCGGGGATGACCAAGGTTGCCGTGGGAGACCAGCCTGTGGACATCGAGCACCAGATCATGGAAATGTTGATGCAGTTCATCACCAAGGACAGCTGTCTGATCCTGGCTGTCACACCGGCCAACACTGACCTGGCCAACTCCGACGCCCTCAAGATTTCCAAGGAGGTGGACCCTCAGGGTAAGGGGACCGTGAGGAGTGTGTGTGTTCATGTATAGGATCATCTGAATGGCCTTGATAACTTTTCGCTGGATATTTTTATAAATTTGACCTATTTTGCTCTAATTTACAAAGCTAATTTCTATATCTTGCAGCCATAATCACTCTTCCTTCTATACATCTTAGCCTCAGTGCAAAAGCAGGCTGCAGGCGTAATTAACAGATACATTATTAAAATACATCCTGGCAGCATAGATGTATTACAGGAGATTAGTGTGGAGGACATTCTAATTCCCTTACAGAGAAACCGATAAATGATTCATGGTCAAGTTTGTCTTTTGTTATATTTAATAATGTAATAAAAAAGTCAATATACAATTGAAATCGATCTCAAATGCAGGAACAGAGCAACTTCATCCTGAGAGGATAAAATGGCTTTGCACCCAGAACACAGCTTACCGTCACACTATATAGTAGAATGAAAATAGCCAACTGGTACTACCCATAACTTCTCTTAGGCATTAGATAAACATCGTCACCATTAAACCATAAAACCCCCCAGTCCTTAACCATTTGAAAAATCCAACTTTTGCCCTTCCTGAAATGTCAATCCCAGAGTTAGGACTAAAAATACAATTTAACCGAGTAAAAGGCAATCATATTATAAGACATAATCTATATTTATGATTTAAATGATTATATGATAATTTGACAGGACAATTAGTAGAGATATAATTAAATGTAATCATCCCAACCTTTCGTCTTCTTTTATTAAACCCAGACAAAGTTATTAAAGGTTCAGGCTTGTAATTACAGGACGAATGATAACTACAGCTTCTCCCTAACATTTCATTTAAAGCCATCATCAGTTAAGAAATTATAATTTGTCTTTATGACAAAATACCTGCAAAACAAATTGCATTCCCAACCATATTCAGCTGTACTTTAGTGCTAATGCTAAACTGGTAATAAGCTAATGCTAAGGCTATGTTAGCATGCTTACAAACTTAATTAAGATTGTCATTGTGACCATGTTAGCATGCTGATAGCAGTTAGCTCTACTGTGCCTAAGTAAAGATGGTAGACTATATGTAAAGGTACAGACCCACAGCTAGCAAGGCTGTAGACATAGCCTATAGTTTTGAGCAGTGTGGGCTATACAGTAAAATACTGTTTATATACTGTTCTACTGATGGTTATTAGAATTGAAATGCCTAAGTTATAACCTCCAATTATCTGTTTGAATCCTAAAATCCCATGTGTGAATATAAGAGCGATAGATTCAGTATTAGCATTGATGCTTTTGTCTTTCTTTTTCTTTTTTCTCATACTGATATTCTGAACAATCTGTGCTGTTGTATTTGCTGTAAAGTGTCTCTACTGTAGGCTATTTTCATTATATGTACATTAGGTGACCAGATTTTCAAAATTAAAACCGGGGACATTTTGAGTTTTGCGGTCAAAATATCACTAACATATCCAATTTTCTTCACTGTTAATGAAAAAAGGGGGACAATTCTGGTTCAATTTAATTTGAACATTTTAACTGTTGGATACAAACAGAAGGACGATAGCTCATATATGAGACTTCCAAGGTATTTTATTTTGTAACTCTACATCAGATTGTCCAGATTCTCTCAGAGTGATTAGATGGAGTGTCCTGCTATCACCCTGAAGTGAAATAAGTCTTTGATAATTTGACAGTTTTTTATTTATTCTTGTATAAAAACAGAAGGACGATAGCCCATATATGAGATTTCAAAAGTATTTTATTTTGAAACTCTACATCAGATTGTCCTGATTTTCTCTGATTGACTAGATGGGGTCTCCTGCTTATCACCCTGAAGTGAAATAAGTATTGGATTGACTTCGAATGACTCTTTGATTATGGATCGTTTCCATTAAATAATAATCAAAATATAGATGGACAATAGATCTAATTTGAGATTTTAAATAGCATACATTTTAAATTGTGCTTCAGAAAGTAATGTTATTTTAGGGGTGTTGTGAAATGGTGTCAACATCAATTGAAATTAGTCACTCAGTGGAAATGTCAGATATGTCTTCATAACTGTATACTTACATTTTACATTCATTCAGTTATAATGTGGTAGTTATACGTAGTTTGTTTTACATTATTATTGATCACATTATATAGTACATATTTCTTAATTTAAGCTCCAGTATATATGAATATGTTTGGTGTGTTTTTTAGGTATATTTGTTATTGACCGAGTAAACGCTTTTATTTTGAAGGCAGTTTTTACAGGCCTCTACCGTAATGCATAGGATATTCGCGCACTGCAATACAACGTGCTTTTGACTGTGTTTCCCGAAGTGGGGGCTGGCTTGACCACAGTCTGTTTACCCAGTGTTTCCTGACATGAAACGTTTTATTTCACCATGCTATGTGTTTTTAACGTATATTAAAAAAACGGGGACATTTCCGGGGACAGTTTCAACCGGGGACAGGCCTATACAAACGGGGACTGTCCCCGGAAAACGGGGACGTCTGGTCACCCTATATGTACAGCACTTTGGCTCGACCAAAAATCATTTATAAATGTGCTATATAAATAAAACTTGATTTGATTTGATTTAGGTCTACGGACCATCGGTGTGATCACCAAGCTGGACCTGATGGATGAAGGGACGGACGCACGAGACATCCTGGAAAACAAACTACTGCCGCTCCGCAGAGGTGAGAACCCCCCCCCCCCCCCCCCCACACACACACACACACACATTTTTATTAAATCCTTGATTGGAATCCAGCTATTACATTACAATATTTACAGACTTTATATACTACCCAAAACAGGGTATCTTTTATTTAGGGGTCAGCCAATCATCAATCTGCATTATTTTCCCTCTAATTCCTGACCTTGAAATCAAACAATTACTATGGTGTTAAATTGACTAACAGCTTTATTTGTATTGTTCCACATGTGAACAGCTCTCCAATTGTAGAAGTTATAATAATTTAATATTTGGTCGCAAGTGCTTTGGAATCAACGTTTGTCTTTATTCCATAACTCACATTGAACAACTGATATTTGTCTTTCTTTAGGTTACATCGGGGTGGTGAACCGCAGTCAGAAGGACATTGATGGAAAGAAAGACATCCGCGCTGCTTTGGCTGCTGAGAGGAAGTTCTTCCTGTCCCACCCGGGGTACAGACACATTGCAGAACGCATGGGCACACCACACCTGCAGAAGACCCTCAATCAGGTGATACATACAAACGCATGCACACACACACACACACACACACACACACACACACACACACACACACACACACACACACACACACACACACACACACACACACACACACACACACACACACACACACACACACACACACACACACACACACACACACACTCACACAGTTTTTATCAAGCTGCATTCTAGAAAAAAAAAATCCAGGGAACCCTTTTGATTCACAATTCTTCCTTCCTACAATTCTTCCATAATAAAATTGATTAGACAAAACTGTTGTATAACACTATTTATTTCTTGAATGTCTTTGCAGCAACTGACCAACCACATCCGTGATACGTTGCCAGGGTTACGCAGTAAGCTGCAAAGCCAGGTGCTATCGCTGGAGAAAGAAGTGGAGGAGTACAAGAACTTCCGCCCCGACGACCCAACGCGCAAGACCAAGGCTTTGCTCCAGTCAGTATACACACACACACACTCACACACACACACTCACACACACACATAGCCGCGGGAAGTCATTTTACTTAGGGGGTGCTAGTGAACTGTCAACGGGGGGGGTGGGGGGGTAGCCTCGCTACGGGGACACGGTGGACCTCTGTCGCCTCACTCGCCTGTCAGCGCAACTTCAATGATGCCGTTTTCAAACGCATTAAGGGCGGTGCCGACCGTGAGCGAACCGAGCCGGCCCTTGACGCCCGGCCGTTCTGTGATTCTCCAGATTCTAGGGGTGCTCCAGCACCCCTACTTCCCGCGGCTATGCACACACACACACACACACACACACACACACACACACACACACACACGTTTCCATAAGTATAGAAATGTAATGTATAATACTTATAATCGGTAGAATGGTACAGCAGTTTGGTGTGGACTTTGAGAAGTGCATCGAGGGCTCTGGTGATCAGGTGGACACCTCCAACCTGTCAGGTGGAGCAAAGATCAACCGCATCTTCCACGAGCGATTTCCCTTCGAGCTTGTGAAGGTGAGCAGTGTTGTGAATTTGTTTTAATATTTTGAATGCATTACATCTATTAATTTCAATTTCAGCTGTTTTTTTCTTCCACTTCTGCATATTTCTCATTTAATTTGGCAAGGTATTGCTTTCTTTTATCGTTCTGTTAATAAAAACAACTAAAGTATTACTTTTTTCAGGGGTAAACAAGTGGCACTACCATTGCAAAGTTGTTAATGTGCTTTGCCTTCTTAACTGTTTTGTATTTATTTATATTTCACCTGTATGTGGAAACCTTTTTAAATGTTGTTGTCATACTGTAGCTATGTTTCCTAAACTCTCTTTTAATCCAGCGCTAACAAACACAAACAAGCAGATTATCCCTCCTCTCCCCCATTGTCAGTACAGTATATGCATGGCAATGGCATTGCAGTTTAAATAGGTTTTTTTTGCCCGGTGTCTTAGATGGAGTTTGATGAGAAGGAGCTGAGGAGAGAGATCAGTTACGCCATCAAGAACATCCACGGAGTCAGGCAAGTCTGCCAACAGCACACTGTGTTGCACACATTTGCTTTCTTTATGTCTTCCAGCCTTTTTTCCTTATATGTGTTCATTAGCTTTATAAAGACCCACTCTTTCTGTCTTCAAGTGTTTTATATCTTATGTCTCCATTAAGTGTGCTGTCTCTTCTGTCTGTCTTTGATTTCTTGTTTCTGTGAGTCGATTCTATTTAGTCTCCTTGGCTGCTTGTTAGCCTTATTGCTGTCTTCCACTTCACTTCACATTTTCTTTACTACACCTCATTTGGTCCTCCTCATCCGTGTGCCTGTCTCACACTCTCCCTGTGTGTATATCTACCCTCGTCTCTCCATGTCTGTCGTATCTGTATGTCCTTCAGGACAGGCCTATTCACCCCAGACTTGGCGTTTGAGGCCATAGTGAAAAAGCAGATCATTAAGCTGAAAGAGCCCTGTCTGAAATGCATCGACCTGGTCATCCAGGAGCTCATCAACACAGTCAGACAATGCACTAATAAGGTATCACTGCATGGTCTCCTGCCTGGCTGCCACACCTCTACACACACACCAGAGAGACCAGCCGACTGTAGAGTTGCCAGGTCCATTAAAGCAGCCAATTGAATCATTTTAGCTATGTGCTTTTGGACATAATTCCAGCATCCTGGATTAAAAAATAAAGTGAATGAACTCAATGGAAAGGTTCAGTTTTCACAGTCCTGATTTGAAGTTCACTTGCAGGAACATTGGTGGTTGTATTTGAATATCCTGGCTGTACTTCACTGGAGTGGTGTCTCTGAGAAGATGTGTGGTTACAGACTGGATGTGGCTTGTTGCTGAAAAGTATCATTACAAAACAAGCTGCTAGGTTTCAGGCTGCGGCTGAAAGATGTACAGCCATGCTAGCGGCTCTGTGAGGCTGAATTTAGGCACACATGGTGCTAACATTTGCTATTGTTAAAATAACTTACTGGACTAGTTGCAATTGTGCCCAGATGGTGGCACTAGAGGAAGTTTAGGTTATTAACAATACAATTTGGATTTGCAGTATGTGAATCATGAACGTCTGTACAAAATGTCATGGCGATCCATCCAATAAATGTTAAAAGATATTGACTGACTGGCATTGAGATATATATATAGCCATGCACCTGACATGGCCTAAAAGCTGTGGTCTGACTCTCAACGTGCACATGAATAGGAAGCTGATGCAGCCATTAATACTTTTGAGAACCTGCAGCTTGTTTCTGTTCTGTAAATGAATTAGAACTAACTAAAATACCTTTTTCTCCCTCAATCTTCATTATCCTTTCCCTTTTTTGAACACTTCCTTTTCCCCCCAAACTATTCCATTCAACTTGAGATTTCACTTTATTTTTTGCCACCATTTCCCTTTTCCTCTTCATGCTACACTGCCTCCTTCCCTCACCTGCCATTAAACCTCAAACTCCCATGATGCCTCACCACCACAGGACAGGCCTGTTCACCCCAGACTTGGCGTTTGAGGCCATAGTGAAAAAGCAGGTCATTAAGCTGAAAGACCCCTGTCTGAAATGTGTCGACCTCGTTGTCACCGAGCTTGCCGCCCTGATCAGGAAGTGCACGGAAAAGGTAAACGGGAACAGTGGACAGACAGATTTGAAAATGATTAATTTAGAGAGCGAAAAAATGCAGTCAGTCAGTGATAGAGAGCAGTCAAAAAAAGGAAAAGAGAGGAAAATGTAATCAACTAACTTATCCCTGTCTGTTATTGCTGATCAATTCCCCTTACCGCTGTTTGAAGGCTTCACGTCCCACCCGTCTACCCCTTGGTTCCCTCTTTAATGACGAATCTAACGAGCCCTTTCCCTATCGAGACCCTGGACCTCTACCGGCACACTTACCCCATCCTCACTGTGATTGGTGATGTACATAACACCCCCCCCACCTCACCTCACTTATCCAATCAGATCCCCACTCTCACACTAAGGAATTGGGCTGTTCCCCACCCTGTCTTGTCAATGGAAATGTTCATGTATTATTCCTGTGATACCCCCTTTACTGCACCATTGACACCAATAACACAACCCCCCACACACACACAAACACACACCTCCATCAGACCCTCTCCAATCTTCATCTCTTTCTAAAACCTAACCTGATCCTTTTTTCTGCTACTTCCTCCCTGATTTGTTGAGACTTGCTATCAGCTTGAGATGATATTATGCTAATTAGAGTTGGGGTAAGCTCTTCCTGTAAGGATTGAGATTCTCATATTCTATTATTCATTATTTTTTATTATTTTTTGTATTTATCTAACTGATGGACACTATTCCTAAACACCAATTTGTTGTTATGTCCAGCATTATTCAAAATTAACTTAACTTTGCCTTCATGCGGTCATTTCCAACACCACCTTTATAAACCATCAATAGACTGGTGTAGATTATGAAATAAGCAGCCGTATATACTAAACTGAGAATCATTGAATGATGAGATACCGGAAGATTTACACCCCTGACCCTTATGTTTACTGTTTTTGTACACTGGTAACAACTTCATAGCTTTTGCAACACCTAAAGCTGACAAGTAGTCTCCAGCTGATACAGATCTCTTTAGTGCATGCCTGCTCAGTGTTCATGTTGAATGCCCTGCCTCGTATTTTGTGTTTATACTCTATATTTACTGTCAGTGGTTGTTGGGAGTTACTGCTTATGAGGGAACAAAGTGTTGCAGTGTTGTGTAAGCCTTCACAGGTGTGTGTCCTGTAATCACGGTGCCTGCAGCAGTGCGTGTGTTTGTGTGTGGCTCTACAGCTGGGATCGTACCCTCGACTGAGAGAAGAGACGGAGAGAATCGTCACCACCTACGTCAGAGAGAGAGACAGCAAGACCAAAGACCAGGTGTGTTTTTGTGTGTACGGTGTGTGTACAATGTTAGTGTGTGTACAGTTTCCTCTGTTTGTGTACATACCATGTAATGATTTTTCTCTCAGGTGCTGCTGTTGATCGACATTGAGCTCTCCTACATCAACACTAATCATGAGGACTTCATTGGATTTGCCAAGTAAGATACTTATTTATTATTATTTATTAATTTGTTTTATTAGAAACAGGGGTCGGTATGTTTTTTTCTTATTCTTTTCTGCAAAGATTTAAAGATTCTTCTTGGTATATATGAGACTAAATGTGTGTGCTTTGGACTGTTGACTGAATATTAAAAGCAACTTCCATATCAACTTGGGTGCTGGTAGAAGAATAATGGCAATTTTTCACTATTTCCCAATATGACTGGACAAATGGTTAATTGATAAATCAATCAAATATAAAATAATTATTAATTGCTGCCTATATCCATTCAAATCCAAACAGTCAGTACACATGTTTAATCAAATCTGAAAAACCCTTATGCTTTCCATCTCAAATTATTAAAGAAAACATAAAAAGAAAAGGAAAAAATAACATGATTTGATTAATATTCCAGAAATATCTTGTATGCATTTGTTAGCATATCCCTCATCCTTCAATGTCTCTCCTGCAGTGCCCAGCAAAGGACGGCTGCTAACATCACCAAGAAGAGAGTCATGCCCAATCAGGTAACCGCATCACAGCAGCTGCTTTCTCCTGCTGCTCCTTTATTTCCCGTTCTCTCTGTCGTTGCCTCAGCCCGTCTCTCCTGCCACGTGTCCCTCTGTTGATTCACATTTACACACTCTTGTCTGTGCCCCTGTTGTCATTATTCTCCCTTTCCTCTTTCTCTTCTTCTGTTCCTCCTTCTCATGGCCCAGGGGGAGATTCTTGTAAGTATGGTGCCCACTGGCTGCACCTCCACTTGTCACTTCCTCTTTGGGTGGGTGGGGGAGTCGAGGAACCAGATGTGTGCTCCTTGATGAAGAAGAGGGAAGTGAAAGAGTTACACTCATGGATGTATCATCATGAGAACCGGATACCCTGTACCAAGAGTTTCTCACCCAGTGAATAAGCTAAAGTTATTGTTTTCTCATTCTGTATTTTTCAGTATTGTTTTTTCATGTGTGGGATGTGATAAAACCAGTGGCGAGCCGTAACTTTTATACCTAGGCCCTCTGACCGCCACCCCTTCCCTCGAAAAAAAAAGTTATTACGTCATAGCGTGTATACTACAGCGGAATATCAAAACAACGGCCCGGGGTGCAAAACGCATCAATGAAAAGCGACCCTCTACCACACAAAACAACACCTTTAAATAACCCAATTTGTGTTCTTTGAAATTGAAAAGGATATTGCATTGTGTTTGTTACTTTCGTTGCAGTTGTATGTCTTAAGTATAATTTGGCATGCTTTTATTTTGAAGGCGAGTTTACGCTGTTGACAGGAAGTTGTTGTTGCTATGGAAACAAGAAAAGTTTCACAGGGCGTAACTTGTCATAAAGTCCGCGATAATAAAACCCACCCATTTAGAGGGAAGATATGATTGGTCAATTGTACTGTCATTTGACATTACTCTCTCGTTCACTTGACCCTCTGTAAATGCATAGCTGGACGTCCAACAGCTCCTGTCTTCACAGTAAGAGACGAGCTTCTTTCATTTAACCCTTCACATTCTAACAGAAACTGAATAGGCAGATTCGAAGGATTTATTTCTATGGAAATGTTATTTTAAATACAATTAAATCAAGTTATTTTGGTAAAACTAATGAAAAATATAACTAAAAAACATATTTAAAAAATATATATATATATATATTTTTTAATGTTTTTAAATATTATTTTGTAGAATATCTTAGGCCTTCAGAGAGGGCCTAGAGGGCCCTGACGGCTCGCCACTGGATACAACATAAGAAGCCTTTCTAGAGATCCCTATGTCTTATTCTTGCACAGCGGTGTGAACAAAAAAACAACAAAAGTTTGTGTATATTTTTGTAAAACCATTGAGTTTATTATTATTTATAAGAATGGATATCGACATCTTTAACATATGCCTTTATTTAGAAATTCCCAAGGCATGACTGTGTCACCATTTTTGTCCAAACAGACCACCGTCCTAAACATTGAAACAGTGCTTAAACACGAGAGATGTGGCGCTTTAAAGTGAAACACTTTTGTAAAGCCTAGAAATACAATTACATTATTAATTATGTGAGTTGATATAAATATAACTGGTGTTGTTAAATGGGCACATGATATCATCTCATAGCGTTTGCAGGCTTCCGAATTGAATCAATGAACATTGTATCATGGCAGATTCATGATATCACCAAACAATCGTATTGTTCTTTAAATGATTGGTATAGCGTTGTATCATGGTAAAAGTATTCACATGCTCAAAGTTTAAGATTGTCTAAAATAAATGAAAGCGCCCCCTCGGTGGCCCTGAGCTCGTCTATGCTCAACCGCCTTGATCATAATAGAGATGTATGTAGAAAAGGCTGCAGGGGAATCCTTAACTGAAGCACCACAGCTTGCAACTCTACAATACACTCATGGTTACACCACCACACAATCCATATGTCCTCTCATTATCCCTGTGTGTCTGTTCCCTTTGTCTCCTTGTCCGTCAGTCTGACAGAGAGAGAGAAACAGAGAAGGTGACTTTTTATTGGAGCCTGTCATTTATTCTCTGTCTCTGTGTTTGTTATGAATTTTCCGGTAAGACAGTTTGGCCTGATCTGACTGCATTGTGCATCTTTTTCTTGCAAAACTGTTGCACTTGCATGTCTTTTCTGCTTTATTTTGCTGTCAATTATTTCTACACATGAATGTTTTTGTCTTTCATTTGTTTCTATTATTCTATTTGATTTCTGTAGATACATATAGGGGTGTGTGGTTTAGTCAACTTTTGGGCTCTCGTGTGCAGGTGATCCGCAGAGGCTGGCTCACCATCAACATCAGCATCATGAAGGGAGGATCCAAGGACTACTGGTTTGTCCTGACAGCTGAGTCTCTCTCCTGGTACAAAGATGAGGAGGTAAGGCTACTAAGGGGACAACATATTGCCTTATTTTCATGTGATAGGCAAGTTTATTGATATAGCACCCTTCAACACAAGGCAATTCAAAGTGCTTTACAAAAATGAAAGAGATTAAGAGCATTAAGAAACATTATAAAAGGGCATTTAAAGTCACTCATTTAAAGGTGGGGTAGGTAAGTTTGAGAAACCGGCTCGAGATACACCTTTTGTTATATTCCATGGAATGCTCTTAACATCCCGATAGCAATGAATATCTTAAGTGCTTTGACAAAAAATCCATAAAAAAAAGTCATCTGTGGAAGCCGTAGCACTGTAAAAAGCACGACCAATCATCTGAGCCGGCCCGGCTAAAGTAACTGGATGGCCTACCTGCCTGTCAGCCTTCCATCTGTGCACAAACTTATCTCGTGCCCTCATTGGTCATGTGCGCGTTCTTGTGTGTTGGAGGAGGGGCTCTGTAAGGAAGTGGCAGATTTTTTCCGGCTGTGTATTTTCAAATTCTAGCGCACTCGAGCTGGTTTCTCCAAAATGACCTACCCCACCTTTTAAAAGCAAAGATAGTAAAACATGAATAACAAAGGTACATGAATACAAATTACAGTGCAGTGTGAGATACACACATCGCAAATGTTTAGGTCTGACTCTCAATCATTGCTAACTTTTTTAGCAGAAATAGTTTTCTTTGACCTCACTTTCTTTCTGCTTTCTTTTTTAACTTATCCTTTAATTATTTCAAGTGTTTCATGCTCAACGAACCCCTCTTTGTATAATTCTAATCTGCAATCCAATATTTCGAAAATTCAACGGATCCTGGCCATATTTGTGTAGCATATACAATTAATTTGCTCCCAGACATTCATTTGGCTTGCTAGTTTTGGACCCAATCTGTGGTCAAAAAGTCACCACCTAAGGTTCTTTCAGTATTTCTACTAATCACTTAAGCATACAATAGTGACTTTTGACTTTCTGTTTGATAGGAGCGTCCTCCTACCTGAGGTTATTTTACAGGCACAACCTCACATAGAGAGAAAGTTGGCGTTTTTTCCATGACAAATATTCTAGCATCTTGTAAAGTACTTATAAATGTGCATCTAATAAAGCCCACTTGTTGTACCTTGAAAACACTTATTATAGGGAAGAGACTGTTTATTTGTTATAGTATGACTTATTTTATTGTTGTCATATCATTTGTTTATCAGGAAAAAGAGAAAAAGTACATGCTGCCTCTGGACAACCTGAAGCTGAGAGATGTGGAGAAGGGCTTCATGTCCAGCAAACAAGTCTTCGCCATCTTTAGCACTGAACAGAGGTGCGGCTGCTTTAATCCTCTAAAACAGTCATGTTTACGGTGTTAGTCCGTTCTGATCTTTGGTTCATTTCAACATGTGTGTCTTACAGGAATGTGTACAAAGACCTGCGTCAGATTGAGCTGGCGTGTGACGCTCAGGAGGACGTGGACAGCTGGAAGGCCTCGTTCCTCAGAGCTGGTGTTTACCCAGAGAAAGATCAGGTAAACTAGAGTGTAGTAACTTTTTTAATCTAGTAACCCCAAGTTAATTGTTTTTACAAAGGACTGCAGCTTAACTTTAAATGTGGCCTGAGGATTTCTAAAGATATAGTGATGAAAACCCAAAGGTAAAAAGTTAGTACACTCTAAGATGTCAGCGTTTCGGCTGATACACAGTAAATTGATATTTAAAGATAAAGTCAACTTTTCAGTTTAATAAAATCATTAAATGTTTCTTCCACAACATGCATATGCTAATGTAATGTACTGCCCTGCTGCTCCAGGAAGCACACTGGTCATAGTTTACCTTGCGCTTTGTATAATCAGGTCAGGTCTAAAGAGAGCAATTATATCAAGAGATGTTATTTGTGATCAATAATACTGATGTAGTGTGGATGAAAATACAAATGTGGATTCAACTGTATTTGCATTTATATGTGTCCAATAATTTTGAGATGTGCACACTGTCATTTGAAATCCCCTTACACAGCTTTAAATCTATTTGTATTTCTCTATAACAGTAAATATAGTATTTAAAGATAAAAAAAATAGCTTGAATTTCTATTTATTTGATTTAAACTCAGCCTTATATACTTAAAACTCTGCCTAACTGCTTCATCATGTCTGTGGGGTTGTGCTTCAAACATATTTTGATTGACAGTTGTCATCAGCTCCTATTTCAGATATTGCTTCTTGCGCAGACAAAAACACAAAAACCTATTTCTCAGATGTGTTAGAACTAGGGCTGTCAGTCAATTAAAATAGTTAATCGCGATTAATCGCACATTTTTGATCTGTTTTAAATTTACCTTAGGAATATTTTTCAAGTTTTTAATACTCTTATCAACATATGAGTGGACAAATATGCTTTATGCTAATGTTTATTATCATTTGAACAATGACAAATATTCTCATGAATATATTAAACACAACAACTTCTGAACATTACAAATATTTGCCTCAATTCAACCTGGAACCTCTCTCATATAATAATACAGTGTGTGTGTGTTGTGTGTGTGTGTGTGTGTGTGTGTGTGTGTGTGGTGTGTGTGTGTGTGTGTGTGTGTGTGTGTGTGTGTGTGTGTGTGTGTGTGTGTGTGTGTGTGTGTGTGGTGTGTGTGGTGTGTGTGTGTGTGTGTGTGTGTGTGTGTGTGTGTGTGTGTGTGTGTGTGTGTGTGTGTGTGTGTGTGTGTGTGTGTGTGTGTGTGTGTGTGTGTGTGTGTGTGTGTGTGTGTGTGTGTGTGTGTGTGTGTGTGTGTGTGTGTGTGTGTGTGTGTGTGTGTGTGTGTGTGTGTGTGTGTGTGTGTGTGTGTGTGTGTGTGTGTGTGTGTGTGTGTGTGTGTGTGTGTGTGTGTGTGTGTGTGTGTGTGTGTGTGTGTGTGTGTGTGTGTGTGTGTGTGATGGATCGTTGGAGCTATGTGCAACTCAAGGCATATGCTCGAACGGGAGCTGCCTGGACGCTGCAATCATGTTGCACTATCCGTGCTGAGTGTGCTGACTTCTCGTACAATGTCCCACTGTCTGGCTTCCTGCATAAAGTCAAGTGCTCGGCGCAGTTGTCGGCGAAATGTCGCTCCTCTGTTTTCATTTAAGCAGCTCCTTATATCTGTATATATCTCCTTATAGCTAGCACCAGATGCTAACAACAACAATGCACGTAAGGTCTCTCTCTCGCTCGCTCGGGCCACACATACACACACCCTCCCGGTCCTCCCAATAGCCAGTCGGTGCCTGCCGGTGAGCGTGGAAGTGTGGTCTGCCACAAGCGGGCGGCAGGAGCGGGGCTGTCAGCATCAGCTTGTAGATGGTATTTTAAACTCGATGCGCTCTGAAACTACGGGGCGGCCGAGGAAAAAAAATACACATGCGTTAATCGCGTTAAAATAATTAGTGGCGTTAATTTTTTTTTGCGTTAACGTGTTATTAACGCGTTAACTTGACAGCCCTAGATAGAACCAAAGTGATGTCCAACATTGGCAGACGTATATTTTCGGGACCTTTACAGATCGCACTAACAGAAACAAAACATCTCTGCCCCCCCCCCCTCACATCTCTCTATCTTGGTGTCTTTCAGCCTGCGAGTGAAGATGTGATGAATCCGAGCGACACCGTGTCCATGGACCCACAGCTGGAGCGGCAAGTGGAGACCATCCGCAACCTGGTGGACTCGTACATCGGCATCGTTAACAAGTCCATCAGAGACCTTATGCCCAAGACCATCATGCACCTCATGATCAACAGTGTACGGGTTCTGCTTTATCTCTTTTCCCACTAGTCATATTCAACATCTAGACAGGTATGAGAAATGGAAGTCATTTATCATTCTTGCAGTATTAAAGTATTTTTTCTCCAGGCGAAGGACTTCATCCACTCCGAGCTGCTGGCCTACCTGTACTCGGCCGGGGACCAGGGCAGTATGATGGAGGAGTCCCCGGAGCAGGCCCAGAGGAGAGACGAGATGCTGAGGATGTACCACGCTCTGAAAGAGGCCCTCGTCCTCATAGGAGACATCAGCACCACCACCATTTCTGTCCCAGTGCCTCCACCTGTAGACGACAAATGGATTGCCAAGGACCCGAGGTAACACATATTTACAATCTAGGTTTAAGCTGACCAATATATATTTTGGCCACCAGAGGCCACTGACGTGTTAATTTCTCTACTGTACTGTATGTACCGTGTTCAAGATGTAAATTGGAACAGGATGCATTCCTAGTCATAGTTAAAAAAATAAGAAGAAATCCAATATCGCTGTTTGTGTTAAACAACAATCCCCAAGGGCTTAAACATTTCTAGAATCATTCTATAGAGGGAAAGCAGGATAATATGTCGCACTCATTATCATGCAGTCAACAGCTAGTAGACGCTCCACTCACACTTCCAAATAGCTTCAGTGTATTGCCACCTGGTGCAAATAGATAAAATAATATAAACTATAAAATCCACTTTAATAAATGTACTTTTATTTAATCATATCATCTTGAGTATAATCATTATGTTTGCATATTCTGCTAATACAAATATGCATATAATATCTTTATGAACACATGTAGAGTGCATTACATCAAAATACTGTAACATCCTTGTCTCTCTGTGTCTCAGTCCTCCACCTGCGTCCCGCCCTGCCGCAGCAACAGCGCCCCCTCCCAGCAGACCTCCTGCAGTGAGGGGCCCCACCCCAGGCCCTCCGCCCCCTCTCAACCCCTCCCCAGCATTCGGGGGACCGCCCGTGCCGACTCGCCCACCGGGACAAACGGCCTACGCCGGGGATCCAAACTCTGGATCTGTGCCTCTAGTTCCTTCCAGGCCGGCCCGCGTGCCTCCCGCACTGCCGCCAGGGATTCCCAGGTAAAATCGTTCACACACACACACACACACACACACACACACACACACACACACACACACACACACACACACACACACACACACACACACACACACACACACACCACACACACACACACACACATACACATACACACACACACATTCTGACTATTGTGGCTTTGGTGGAAGTGGCTGGTGCTGCTGGTGATGGGTTGTACTGTATGTTCTGGCTTTTTGGTGTTTTGGGAATCTTTGCTGCATGGTTATCTGATGATATTTTTCCTTGCATGTGTCCCCCTCCCCCCTCTTTCCCCCAAAACCTCTCCTCCTCTCTCTTCCTGCAGCAGAAGACCCCCGGGTGCTCCCATCCGACCCACTGTCATACGTCCTTCAGAGCCCTCCCTGCTTGACTAGAAACACACACACAATTCTTGTTTACACGTTTATATTTCTGTAGAGCAGAGAGTCGTCTTTTATTTCCCATGTGTATTCCTATAACTACACACCTACAGTAACCTGTCATCTGATGCTGTTTCAGTCTGTGCATTTCAGAAACATTATGTATGTACTTTAACTAAATGTGTAGGCAGAGGGTTTTTTTAAACAAAGAATATGATGACATTTTCTGCATTATGTGTGATGAAAAGGGATACATGATTTTATTGACTTTACAAACCAGCAAGTCCTCTTGAATTTTTTGATTGTTTCATTTGAAATGTGTCTTTAAAACAATATATGTGACTCATAACTTTGATATAATGGTAACAAAAACGATTTTAGAAGTCATCTTTTGTGAGCTGTATACTTGCTAACGTTTTGTCAGTAATCTCACACACTAAGCACCTCGTTAAGAAAGCAGCACTTTTCCATCAAGTCTCTTTTCTCTTCCTTGATGGTGCATTTTCAAAGCCTTAAATTGAGCATAGTAAAATTAGACTCACTAATGAAATTTGTATTTTGGCGTCATTACAATATTTTTCAAGGATACATTAATTACGTTTTTTGTGTTTCTCTTTTGTGGAACAATTGAAAAGTGACAGATACCTACCACCACTGCTCTCATTGTAGGTGATATTTGAATCAAGTGCCTTGAGCAAAATACAAATGACTCACTTATCACTTTAAAAAAGCCCAATAAAAGATAATCATCCAAGAGAAAGGGCCTGCCCGTCTGTCAGCAGGTGTATACAGAGATGTATTGAATAAAGGAATATAAGGTGTCGTGGCTGGTGCGTGTTACTGTTGTGTGTTTTCTTGAATTCTCATGCACCACCAGGCTCCTGTTTGTTTTGACAGTAAACATGTGGTGCGTCGTGCACTTCCTGTCTCTGAGTGAGTCGATCAGCCTGCAGTTCAGAGAGAGTGCGTGATAGTCAATGCAGGCGGCCATGCAGAGCACGAACGCTTAACTTTTCTGTGTGCAGCCTGGCATGAGCTCACTTCCTTTCTACCTTACTGTATGATGGAGCCGTGGGTTACCATGGTGACTGTGGTTGCCAGTGGCAACACACGGTAAAGACAGTGTTGCTCGTTGCTTTTGGGCAGGAATGAGTAAAAGGTATGCAATCCTTCGCCTGCTTTCAGAGATATCTTTCTTCTCTCCCGTGCTTCAGTCAGCTGTCAGTGATCCGCTCCTGATCATAACATCTGCTCATGGTTTTCTCTCACAGGCGACCTCCACAAGTCCCCTCTCGTCCAAACCACTGGTGAAGGATCTCAGATGTTCTGCACACAGCGTCTGACTTTATAACCTCATATGTCCACATTCTGGAACTGGATATATAGTTTTTGTAAATATTTGTAAGGATTGAAATGATGCAGAATTATTTGTGTTGAGCTCGCCTCAGCTCACAACATAGCGTATAACCTCTGAACAGACAGGCGTGTTATGAAGCTGGCACTTACAGTAGCGTTTATTATGTATGTTTCCTCCCAGTAAGTGCTGTTGAAATACTTGATATGTCTCTGACTTGATCAATTGGAGGGTGGATATGTCAACTTGGAAAAGGAAGAAAAATCTGTTCGACAAATTCAAGAAACAAACCTGGCATAAATCCACAAAATATATTCCAACAAGGTTATTTACACTCCTGCTACATCTTTTGTTCTCATATGGCCAGATACTGTATAATTAAAATGTGTTCATGCACACTATGATCTATAAATATGTCTCCGCCACATTTGTCACTGTGATAAAAGTAGAAAAGCTTTAATGAAGTAACTTTGGGAATGTCATCATTTTCACCCATCCAGTGTTGCTTCGGATATTACTCACTGACAAATGCAGTTAATTAACCTTATACCAACTTTAACTTAATGTCAGGGGTGTTTTTGTTTAAAGTTTAAAGGTCAGACGTTAGGGGGAGTTACATCAGCAGAAAATAAGTGCTTCTTTGCCGTTTTGGTCTCAAGTGGCTCAAAGGGAAAACACTACAAACGACAAGCAGTGATGTTTAATAGACTATTTTGTATCAAATATCCCAAATGACCAGTAAATATGGTGCTGTATGCTGTCATTAGATCATGATGTGAGCACTAAGGTCTCATGATTTACCTTCACAATATGCAATTCCTAACAGAACACATTTAAAAAATATTACTCTGTTACTATTTTATTTATTTATCAAAGACAACTCACAACAAACCATGTATTTCCTGTGTAAAAAATGCATTTATTGATATCAATAATCCCCATGTAAACCTGAATTTGACTTATTCTATTGAAATGTGTATTAAAAGCTTATTCTTATAAAAAAAAAAAAACAGCGGCTGTCTGAGCAGAATCGAAACGTCACATTCTGTTGACACAAACATACATCTCAGAAAAGGAAAGTTGGATCGTCTAGAAAAACAAACAGAGACACACAAACACACATCTACCAATCAGTATGTTGATAATCCTGATACATGTCCGAACCGACATAAAAACATACCTATTACATATTCATCTGGAAGCGTACATTGTACATTATTGGCAATCACGCTTAAAATCATCTCAGCATGGACTCGAGCTGTAAAAAAAGAAGTCAGTAACATCTATCAAAACGGCTGTAACCAAGGAAACACCTCGTCAGACGGACATATCTCTAAAATAAAGGAGAGATCGTAAACTGCCAGGAAGATCAAATACACCAACAACACTATTGCACATTGTTATCCCTTGTAAACCAGCAGACCAAGAGTTCTGTTGATCACTTGTAGAGTTGTGTAATTTAACATACCTTTAACATTTAGCAAGGATTATCACCTTTAAAAAAAGATTCCAAAAACCTTTAACCAGTTTCAGAAGCATAGGACAGCATGCACCACAAACAGCTGTGTACTGTGCCTTTTAAAATGTATTTCCTCATTGGTTTGTGGAATCATTTGACATTAAAGGCACTACATTAAATTAAAACAATCAACTTCCTCCTCTGGTTAACCTTCATGATCTGATAACATTGAATTATTGCTCAAAAACTGATTTGTATCGATGTTGAATGCGGCTCTTCGTATAGACCAAATGAAATACAGTATATTGGACAGTCGTTTGAACGTCTTGTGTTGGATTGTTCTCTTTCATAGGACTCCTTTCATCACTTCAAAAGAATCTCTCTATGAGCAGACCCTCCGCTTATCGTCGAACAGTTTACGGACAGTGTAGACCTGGAAGTAGAGAGAATATATTGTTTAGATCCGATGCCAACTGAGAGACGATTCAAAGATGAATTGCATTGTGATGTGGAGGTGTCCAGAGACACTGATGTGTTCAATGAACACAAGTATCCGTATTCGATAAAGACCAGACGTGTTTTATGGATATGTTAAAACTAGCAACTGTTGTATTTTCCAACCTTATATTCATTGCGCATTGTTGCTACTTTAGAGAATAACATTATTAAATACATTCCAACACACTAATACTCTTTTATTTATTCATTGTTTTATCAGGAAACTGAATTTCCCATTAAACCTATGGCTGTAGAACAATTTAAAGAAGAAGAACATATAAATATTTAAATTTTTAGAATTGGTTTTATAAAATTGAGGAGATGAACACATACAGCTAATAGCTACATTTTGTTGCAGCCGTCAGACAGCTGCCTGCTGAACAGGAAGTTCTTATCTTGCCACAATGACACGTGTAGATCTGAAGAAAAAGCTGATGCACAGACATCGTAATCATGTTTTTATCTTCCCCTAAACTAACAATATCAGGTAGAAGACAATCATTTATTTCGTTTTCCAGATCCGGCTACATCCCTAGTAGTTTATCAGCCCTCCATTTACCTGGGTAAGTGCCACACACAGCATCACCAGCACACTGGCGCAGGACCAGAAGGAGACCCTCCACAGGTTGTCCTCCAGGAGGTTTCGGTCCCGTGCCTCGAAAGCCCGCAACACCGTCTGCATCTGCCGGCTGCGCTCCAAGCGTTTGTGCAGAGAGTCCATGGACTCCTGGGGACATTTGGAGATACGTTTTAGCGGTTTAAAAAAGTGGTTGCTGCCATGAGGTAGAAGAGACAGAGAACATTTGAAATTTTAAAAAGTTCACAGAATCTTTTATTATTGTTGACACATTCTAAGTGGTAAACGTGGCTGTTAATGGTTAATCATAACACTTTGACAGACATGGTTGTGGTTGGGGCCTACCGTTCAGCCTGTCACCTGGCGAGTCACATTATTAGGTCATGTAACCATCACTGTGTCGCTCGCAGCGTAGCTAATGTTTCCAGCAGTGTTGGGAGTCACAGGTTGAAGCTGACGTTATTCTATATTTTCCATGTTGTCAGCAGATTTACGATAAACCAAATGTTACAATACTTTCCCACTTCCCCAGGCCGTCTGTGTTCGTTCCTTACTGAAGATGAAACGGAGAACACTGACCAGAAATGTGTTGTTGTCAAATAAAAAGAGGCTAAACCATTTCATTGAAAAGCTGGTCGCTGTGTTTATAAGTAAACGATCCCAAAACCAGGTTAAAAGCTGCATTTGGACGATGGCCCTTTTACCCAGGGAAACAGTGTGGCTTACGTATGTCCTTTTGTGGCCATACATGTAACTGATCCAGTTGAGTGTTAGTTTTGATCTTTTTGACAATAATATATAATAATAGCCTTTTATTTTGAAAAGCCAATATATATATCTAGTCTTTTTTGGAGACAAGTACAACAGGAGCAAGGGGATAGATCTTAACCTGAAGGAAGTTTTCCTACTATTTATATCCTGCTTATATTGTGTATTTTGTAAAACAGAAAATTGGCCCTTCAATAGTGTTTTTATTTGGCAGAGAGTTTATAGATTATTTTATCTTCACGGTCATCTGTATATCTGTCTGACTCTCTAAAGCTGGTTTGTTTCTATTTTGAGATGTTTCCATTTTGAAATTGTTTATTTCTACTCTTATAATTTGTCATTATGTGCAATGCCTTGTTTTGTTTTATGCTGCTGCAACAAAAACAAATTCCCAAATTAGGATTAATAAAGTACATCTTATTTTAGCTTATTTTATCTTTATTAAAATGTGAAAAATCTGACCTCTGTTCAACCAAATGGTTACTATACTCTCCTCTTATTCCCTGGACAGCTGAGGTTTATCTCAGGTCCAACTATATACCCTTTTCTGAATGCACTTCTAAAACCCAACCTAACATCTCACCCTGATGTCATCCAGCTTGTACTCCAGGAGACTTCCATCAGGCTCCTCCAACCCCTGCCACTCTTCATCTCCAGTCACATCTCCTGCTTGACCCTCGATGATGATCTCAAAGAACACCATCTTCTCTGAGAAGTGACTGAAGCTGTTGTCAAAGCAGATTTCGTAGTCTCCCTCCACCGTCGGCTCCACCCTGGAATACCAGGACACAAAGTCAAATGTTAAACAGACAGATCAGATGCCACGGAAATAATCATTTTTATAAGATCAAGAATTCAGGCCGATGTGAGGCAGCACTCACACGTGGACTCCGTCGGAGCGTCGAGACTCGAAGATGAGATGGACACCTTCTGGAGAGATGATGGTGAAGTCGACATCCATACCCGCACCTGATATTACCTGCATGTGCACACACCAATACATACACACTCAGTAATAAGCTTGGTGGACAGCTGTCATGACACACAGCTAGTGGCAGAAACAAGGCGTACCAGGCCAACAGGATGCTAAAACAAACATTTCCAGGAGAGATTAGGCGTGCCTTTCAAGAGAGCGTATTGTCGCCTCTTAGATTGGGACTCTCCCACTAAACACACTGACTAATGGGACTTTACATTATAAGACATGTTGCTGTGCACATATTCTTTTTTTAAGTGACATTGGACAGCAGTATAGCTGCAATATTTAGGAAGTGTCAATTAGGAATGTGATATAGTAAATATATATAACACATTGCAAAAAACGATTATTTTTTATGCTAAAAAAGCCAGAAAATGTTGTTTCAGACTTTCAAACATTTAGATTTTCTGTTTTGTCAATGTAATATCATAATAATCTGTATGTCTTCTGGGTTTAGACAAACACGGGGTATTTAAAGACATCCCTTTGGATTTCTAGGAACTTGAATGGACATTTTGTACGCAGCAGTAGACTGGAGTAGAGCTGCAAGTAACACTTACTGTCATTGTTCGTTAATCTGTCTAGTATGTTCTTGATTATAATGAATTATTCACATTTGAGAAGCTAGAATCAGATCATTTTTTGTTTATTTTCCAAAAAAAACAGTTCATCTTTGCAACTCAAGACAGGAGAGTTCATCATGAACACTTCAGCTGCTCATAAGTTATTAACTTTGATAATGGGGCATACTGTAAATCAACACTTTGAAATGAAGTGCTGTTGAACTTTGGATAGCTACAACTATTGCCTGATTAACAAAAATCTATTTAATGTGATTTTATGTTGTTGTTTCTTAGCCGCTCTCTTCACACAACCTTCCTGTTTCTGGTTCCCTGGGCCAGGAGCTCCTACAGGATCAACCTGCTGGAGGATCAGAGGACACCAGGATCTGAAGCTGTCTCACATACGTGTACAGCTTATCATTAACACAGTGACTCATTCAGATTTACGAGCAATGTGTGAAGGCTTCAAATATATAATCTCATGTCATGTGTAGTTATCACTGATCATTTTTAAGTAAAGCCTTTGTGGTTGTCTCTTTCAGGAAGTACTTTTTATTGCAATCTTGCACAAAAGGTGCTAGATTCATGAAGTGTGATTTGACCTTAAGGCTTTACTTTTTTTCAGGAAATGATTTAGCTACAGTACAGCAGTTGTAAAAATGTGTCACGTTAACTTCATAGAGATGAATATAAACAAACATTAGCGTGCAGCACCAGTGTTATGCTGGTTTATAGAAAATATGCAAATACAGTAGCAGCATGTCAGCTAGCTAAAGGAATGAGTAACGGTTAGCCTTCCAGCTGGTGATCCTCTGAGGCTGCTATTAGCATTTGTAGCTTTTCACAGGGGGCATGTAAATGTAAACACACTGAGTGCTGGTATGTCTGCTGGCCAAACACACACACACAGTTACCTGATATTCGACCTCCATCGTCCCATTCTTTATTGCTGTCTGAAAGAAACACTCGGACTTTCCGGCTTGCAGCAGAAACGTCAACTCGCTGTCTAGGTTTTGTCCGAAACAGCTCACAGACCCTAAACACCACCCAAATACTACTGCGAGCACGAGCACGAGCACGAGCACTCGTCCTCCGCTGTCCTGTTTCCTCCGGAGAAGGTCCATGGTGAAGATAATCTCAAACACAGGGCTATCTAAATTCAGCCATCTCCTTCGCATCCCTG